CACAGTAGACCGAGGGATGTGTGCGTGCAGCAGGGGTACGTATGTCAGCCATCAGTACTGGCGCATGGGTCAAGTCAGAATAAACCACACTCCCTCCATCTTTTCTATTACATCAGGAAGAATGACATGCGAAATGACATGGCATGAAAATGAGGGCGTATGCCCCGTTCCTTAAAATTAGTTTTGGTGATAGATGGTGATATATGATGGGGTTGATGGATGATGGATGATGCCCCCCTTCCAACGGTTGATTGATTGAACTGCAAAACATAAACGGACAGGGGTTAGGGGGACAAAGACAGGGGGAAGAGAGAAAAACACGAGGCCTCTTCGATTGTTTTGTTTGTGTATGTGTGTTTTCGTGCATGCGCGCCCTTCTCTCTCTTTCTTTTTTTCTTTGTGCGCCCAAGAGTGGAGGGAGACGGAGAGAAGAGGGTGGTGGCCCCAAAAGACGGACAAGCAAACATAAAAAAAACAAAGAAAGAGAGCCAAAAAAGAAAGACTAGACCAAAGAGGGAAGGCTTGTCTTTCGTTTACCTCTTGCACCTCCAAGGGCAAAGGCGTGACAGGATCATTCATCCACCATCTGCAAACACCTCCATCTTGGATTGATGTGCACAACAGGCAAAAAGGGAACAAAAAATAGCAATGGCGAAACGGGCGATGAATGAAAAGGAGAAGGGGGTGCCATAGATTAGCCATAGGGATTGGGCTTATTCGCTTCGCAGGCTGACTTGAAAGCTGGCTTTGCTTATTTTTTAGTTTGGTTTGGTTCGGTTTTGCTTCGTTGGCTGAACTCATTTCTTTTGGACACTTTTTAATTGCATTCCGTTAGACTGTGCAAACTGCGATGCACACTTTCATACATAGTTTAACAACAAGCCTTGTGGAGTCGAGTCTACTGGACTCAATGGCGGGGGCTGGAGGGTGGAGCCTTGCGCACAAACGAGAAAGAAAGAAAAAAAGGCTGGATCCTATTCTGGATAATTGGTAGACACCCATTGTTTACGCACATCTATTCATTCCATTCCATTCACTGTCATTCCTTCTTTTTTCTCCCTTTTTTGTTTCCTCAGACAGTCGCCTCCTTCCGACTACTCCACTCCTCTTTTTTTCCCTCCCTTCTTTTTTTTTTTTTTTTTTTTGACCTTGGTATTGTAACCCCCCCTTTCCCTTTTTTCTTTTGTTGGATGTTCCCTCCAACAAAAATGAAAACAGGAGTCAACAACAATAAAAGGTACAAGTGCAGTAGGTCAATTGGTTTAGTAAGTTTATTTCTGGCATTTTGTTTGAACGATCGAGAAAGAAAAAAATTATCAAGGATGTTGGAACAGAAGACAAAGAACAACGGACAAGACAGAGCGAGACAGAGATAGACAAACAAATAAACGACATGAACAAAATAACCGACCCCGCAGCTAGGTCTAGCTGTGTATGTGCGTTTGTATGTGGATAGATAATCCGTTGGCTGGTCATCGCGGACACAGGAAAGTAAATTGCCTTTTTGACCTGCTTGACCAACTGACCGACCTGTCCCGGCGCTGGGTTTGTGCGAAATGAAGGGAGAAGGGGCAGGGCACACTTTCATAATGCAGTAACAAAAACGGGTTTTAGGGTTAGGCGAGATTGAGTGAAGAGAACGAGAAAACGAGAGAGGTGTCACGGTCATGCCAGGACCAGACCGTGTCTGATTGGAGCAAAAAGCCGAGGCCCACTTTTTTTTTTTTTTTTTTGTTCTTGTTTTCTTTATTCATTTCATCGGTTTGCTGCTTTGTTTGTTTGGTCCAAAGAGGAATAAGAAAAAAAACAATTGCCCAAGGTGTATCCTCGCCATCGTAAATGATAGTTGGCAAACATAATAACAAGGAAATGGTCCAATAAGAATAAAAACAATACAATATCGTTGCAATCGCCATTGAATCATTGGGCCAAGTCTGTCCGTAAAAAAAGATATGATTATGGTTGAGAAAAAGTAGTGTGTCTAGTGCAGACAAGTTAAGACAGAGAAGGCGGACCAGGACAGACAACTCGAAGTAGAGTTCAGTTTTTTAGTTTTCTAATCTGGGTCTGCATCTCATGTTCTGGCTAACCGTCCGGCTCCCTCTCTTCTCTCTCTCTCTTTTACCCTTTTCGTCTTTGCGCTGCTGGTCCATGTCAATCCGGTCAGGTTCGTCTCTGTTTAGAGTGTGCCTGTGTTGTCGTTGCCTGTTGTCTGTTGTTTGTTGTTTGTTGTCTGTTGTCCGTTGTCTGTTGTCTGTTGTCTGTAGTTTGTTGTCCGTTGTCCGTTGTTGTTATGTGATTGTGCAATGTGATGCGCCTTCCTGTGCCTCGCTGCCTATTGGTTTTTAGAGTAACTGCAAGTGAATAAAAGAATTGTTGTTGTTGTTTTGTGTTTATGCGCTTTGGATGTGTTATGTATGCCCGCCGACTCGACTCCCTTTTTTGTTTCTCAGCTAGTCCTTCCTTCCTTGTTGTTCTTCTTTACCCGAACGAACAGTCCGCATCATCTCCCACACATCTATGTACATCGGGTCTTTTACTGTTTATCATGTTTATTTGTTCCTGTTGCTCCCCTCCTTTCTTGTTCTTCTTTTTCTTTAATGGGTCTGTCTTCACGTCGTCTTTGCTGCTCGTTCGTCGTTGTCGTTCATCATCATCGTCATCGACGCCAATTGCTCAAAAGAACCGTAAAAAAACTGTCGTGGTCGTAACCACAAACCCCACAGCGCCACCGAGTCGTCTCTTTTTTTTTTATAAATATATACATCCAGCCCGGCGCGGTGGCGAACTAGAAACCCAGCCAACAGGCTACCGTCTACTTTAGCAGCAGCCAGCAGTGCAGTGCAATCATCGAGAGGACCATGACGATTGGCAAAAGGCGGAGACGCACTAATTATTCGAATATGCGAAATAAAAAAAGAACTGCTTGTTCTGTCTTTTGCTTATGCCTCATGCTTATGTCCGCGTTCAATTTTTCGTTTGTTGTTACAGGTCGTCAACCGCCCCTCGCTGCACTGCTGCTACTGTCTTCAGTATTGCCTGTCCTGTCTGTAATGCCTGCCTGTATTGTATTGCCTGCCTGCCTGTCTAGATGACTTAACTGACCCCCTCATCTCCGCGTTGACCTTCTCCTTTCTTTTCTTTTTTTTGTCGTTTCTTTTCGCCTGTGTGTCTGTTTATGTTATGTGTGAATGTGGGTGTCTCTGGTAACTCCTCCTCTACTCCTCCTACAAGTCCTCCTCCTTCTTGTTGCCCCCCTTTTTCCTGGTTCCTTAATGGTTAATTATTATCCTTGTTTTATTAGGAGTAACAGCAACAATAGCCGCAGATAGACTTGTTCTGTTTTGGTTTGCAAAGTGTGCATGAATGCATGAGTATATGAGTGGGTGGGTGAGTGTTTGAGAGAGTGAGTGACAATGGACATGTCTTCTGCTAATACGCTAATACATGTGTTCCAACTGTAACTACCATGGTGTGCGTGAGTGTCCAGCCAGCTGTTATTCATTTGCCGCCCTTATCCTCTTATGCTTTCGCTGTTTTGCCTCTGTATTTCTACTTCTCTTGTCCAAGTTCTTTTCTTTTCTCTTTTTCTTCTCTCTTTACTCTCTTACTCCTTCCAAGTCCCCTTCCTCATCATCTCACTTTTTTATGAATCCCTAAAACCCTCTTCTTCTTCTCTTCTTCTTTCTTTCTTTCTTTCATCAACTTTCCCCTTCCCCTTCCCCTCACTCACACACTGACTTTTTAACCCTCGCTCTCTCACTCTCACTCAACCACACACCCCCCCACCCAATTCCCATCTAACGACATTTATCTGCATTGAGCACACCTCACACCACTTCCCTTCCCCCCACCCCCTCTTTAACGAACCCCCCACCTTGCATCCACTGCAATCCCCCAATAGTGTCCTTATCCACTATCCCTTCCAACTTGCTATCAACACTCTTCACGTTCAGCAACAATCTTTTACCCTTTGCCCTTATCCCCTTCAACACCTCTCTTACCAACTCTCTTACTCCCGCCTGAAAAAAGAAACCTTTCCCCTCTTCTTTTTACAATAACCCCCCTTCTCGTCTCAGTATAACGCCTCGCCTCCGTCAACAATAACCCTTTTTACTATCTCTATCGACAACAACAACCCCTTCACCATATTTCCTTTCAGACTAAATTGGTAAGCGATATATTTTTCAACCCCCTTCGGGGGAAAACATACCCACATCTGCTTGTGTCTGTCTCCCTCCCTCGGTCTGTTTGTCTGTTTGTCTGTCTGTTGATTATTTCATGTGCCCAGACAGCCGCCAGCCAGTCTGGGCACTCTTCCTTGCCTTGCCTTGTGTAATCCAACTCTTGGCGAGATAAAACACAAAAACCACCTTCCCTCAACTGCAGTTGGGGTACTGCGGGCATCTACATTCGACTCTACCTCCCCCTATCTTTCTTCTTTATCCACATACACACATATCTGTGCCTTATTGTTCCCTCCCCCTACTGCTACTGCTGTTCTTCAATTGCATTTTCCCTACACACCAATAGTAGTGGCAACGAAGAAATAAGATATATTAAGAGTGAGGAGAACGCACGGTCAAGAGAGTGTGTTGTGCCTGGATGTTTCGTGATACTATCTCTTTGTTTTGAACCACTCCTAGTTCACTCTTCGTGGGTATAGAATGGGAGTGGTTGCAACCAGAAGGCAATCCTATTCAACAGAACCCAGCCAACCAGGCACCCTGCCCCTTCTTCTTTTTAGTTTTATTATTTGAAGGGAGTGTGTCTGGCCCGTCGGTTCCGGGCAACAGACAACAGCTGGAACTCAAAAAAAAAAGGGGAAAATCAATTTAACACAACTGTCAGACGGGATAGACAGAGAGGAGACACCATCAGTGAAATTATTCGGCGTTGATTGATACGTCATGTCTCATCCATTTGAAATTGAACAACCTCTCTAACGGCACATCTCCCTATTATCTCTTAGAACATATAAAACACATATATCTCACACTATGCCCTTCGGAACAACCTACTTTGCCCCCGCCCCCCTCGGACGCGACATGTTCATGGTCCCCAAGCTCGAGTCTGATCCCCGCGAGTTCTACGTCGACGATGAAAAGGACCTCGCCGCCCAGGATGGCGCCTACTTGCACGTTGAGCGTGCTGCCCCAGGTGCCAAGCAGCCCCTCGACAGGATGAGACTCAACCGCATCCTCAACGGCGAGCAACAACACCAACAGGGAGACAACGCACACGCACACCACCACCAGGATGGAACCGACCAATACCAGCAGCAGCAGGGATATCCTTACCACGATCACTCCCCCACCATGCAATCCTTCCACTCCTCCACCGGACCTATCCCTGTCTCGAACTTTCCCGTCTCGCCCGTCGCCTCGCTCTCGCCCATGACTTCCTCCTCGGATGGATCCCCCGTGCCCGCTGGTATGGCACCTACGTTGGCGACTATGTCCTCGCCCCTGTCGCCCATGACATCCTTCCCAACCATGAGCCAGCCTACGCTGATGTTTGACGACGTGATGCCCTACTCCTACAACATTCCTCAGTACCACACCACCCAAGCCTACCCCTTCAAGCATGCTGGAAATGCGAAGCCCATGGATTCCTCTGCGTTTGGTACCGAGGCCGGCAACAACAACAACCAGGGTCATTCCCCACAGACCCACCACTACAGCAGTCAAGAGTCGGACCACTCAGACTCGTCTCCCACGGTCCTCAGTGCTTTCCCCCCTACACGTGCTATGAACTCGCTGGTCGATCATTCGTCGTACTCCATGCCCGACTCTCCCCCATACTCTTCCTCTTCCTTCTACCACAACGGCCAGAACCAGATCCCCTCGCCTTACTCTGTTGGATCTCACAGCCCCATTTCAAACGGCGCCTACTTCACAGCCTATGGAACGCCATCGAATTTCACGCCAACACCACCAACGACTCCTCCCTATGGATACTCGCACACGACCGGTGCTGATGGAAGCCGTTACCCAGGAGGACCCATGCCCATGTACGCCGACCACCACTTCTCCATGCCCACATCACAACAGCCCACCAACGCCCGGGCAAGTCGACCTTCGGGAGGCCGTGGTGGACGCAAGGCACCGTACGAGCCCCGCGCAGCACGTTCATCAGAAGGAAACGCGGCCAACGGCGTCACGCCAGCACCCCGCCGGTTCCAGTGCCACGAGTGCGAGAAGGCCTTCCCCACCAAGGGCGAGCTTGCATCACACTCCCGTTGCCACTTGACTGTCCCTGCTTTCATGTGCGGGATCTGTGGACGCCCCTTCAAGCGCCGGACAGACTACGTCCGTCACGTTCGCAATGTCCACGAGGAGGTCGGTCGCTACAGCTGTACTCAGTGCGGAGAGCGGTTTGGGCGCCTCGACAAGCTCAAGCGCCATGACAAGCATGGTTGCGGGAACGAAATCAAAGACGGCAGCGATGTGTAAAAAGAAAAACCTAGACTTGATCTCTCTGCGTTATTTCATTTTTTTCTTCGGGCGTCTGTAGTTTTCTTTTGGTTTTCTTTCGTTTGGTTCATTTGGTAGTTTTAGTTATACGATTAGGAATAGATATTTTTTTTTTACTTGTTACTTGTAGTTTTCCCCCCCACCCATCCCCCATCCCCCAAATCCCCCCCTTTCAATCCTTCCAAATACATTTTTACATTTTTTTTTGCTCCCGTATTATCGCTGCTCACTTTGTCTACGACTCTCTCTTTGTCCCTGTGTACGTCAATGAGTGTCTGTCCCTATGCCGGCAGTACTCCATGAAAAGCCTGCGATAAACAACCGCCCCAACTGACGAACACAGCAGGAAAAGAAAGATGACGAACAAGACGGCTCCCGTTGTGTATATCTGCCAGGTAATCCAACGATTGGTTGGACTTTGCCCAGAGAGTGTATGAGAAGTATTGTTTGCTAATTATTGAGTTACTCCATAACACACACACACACAGAAACAGAGGCACACACACACGCCGCTGTTACTTTGATTGTAGCCTTGAACCCAGGAATAAGCGGATAAGTTAGTGTGTGTTTTTGGTACTCTGGCTATCGTAACGGACCGAGGGAGGCTGGCTGTTTAGTCCTTTGTCGCTGAGTTTGCGGAGCTTAATGAAGGAAATCTGGCGCTAACAAAACGGCTCAGTTTCACGCCTATCCCCTCTCTTCCTTGTTCTCGAATCCCCGCTTGTTCATTATTTCCGGTCTGGTCCTCTTCTTTCGCCCAACCTTTTTGAATATTATTTTTGTCGATTCTCACTCAAAGGATGTGCCAACGTGCACAGCGGAGCCAGTAATCGAACGCGCTGCAGAGGCCCATCACCCATGCCATGTATCGTGGTTGAAACCAAAAGCTAGTGGTTGGGCGCGCCTGCAAAGGAGAAGCATATTTGTGATGGAGTCGGGGGAGGAAGGAGTCACGATAGAAGAAAAAAAAATATCAAAACAATATTGCCGCCTTGTTGTCCTAGCTCCAAAGAGAAACGAAACATTTTTACAAGACCTTGGATACATGCATGCATGTCTGCATGACCTCCCCCCCCCCAAGGCATTAGGGAGACCAAAAACAGGGAGAGCGAATTACTTTACCAAAAATGATAAAAACAACAACAAATGCTCTATCCCTAATCTGATTGACCCGATTATCCGCGCATCCTCATCCTCCATCTCGTCCACAACAAGGTATAAAATAGTATGCATGTCGCAAAGTGATGAGACAAGAACCTTGCGCTGTTTTTGGATTGCCAAAACTGATAGTGGCAAAAGAGCGAGAGGAGAGAGCAAGCGATGGAGGGTTGGCTATGCATGACAATTGAAGAATGATCGCGATCCTCTTACAGAGACATTTCGCAGCCGGCTCAATGGTACGTCGATGCGGATGAAAATACCTCACAAATGATCCGGTCGCCAAGTCGGATGCGGTCTTGGATGCTACATATGACTGCAAAATAGCTCATTTATTTCAATTGTTTTGTGACCCCATGGTTAACAAAACCCGATCATCCCATTTTTAGGATGCCCCCCATTGCTCCTCTGAGCAACCCATTAGCGAAAACAATAACGAATGTCTATTGTTATGGAGTGTATTTTTGGTTTTGAAAATGCGAAGATGGAAGAAAAAAACAGATGGTCTATGATAATGCCAAAAATGTAAACGAATGCGTCGGTGTATGCGATGGTGGTTGGAGTGTATGTGATGGTGCCTGGGATCACACCTTGCCGTCACCCTCCTGAGTGAATGTACTGCTCTCCTTCAAGGCAGTCTCCTCGCGCTCCTTGTCTGTCCAATGCTGACGCCGTTCCTGCTCTGACTTCTCTTGTACCGCTGCCTTGCGGTCACGCTTGCCCGACAGGAACCAGGCAACAGTACCTAAGCCCAACACCATACCCGCAACCTTGGTCCTTAACGGCGTCTTCTCCTGTTTCCAATCTGATCCCGAGGCTCCACCCTTGCCTCCTGTACCCGTGCTGCTCCCGCCACCATCACTGCTATTGCTGTTACAGCTGCTGGACCCAGTGGCACTCTTGATGTGAGCCTTCTTCAAGGCCTCCGCTGCGGCGGCAGCTATAGTTGCAGCTGCATCTTCTTGTTTCTTGATCGCGGCGGCGCGTTCGGCCTCTGCCTGCTTCTTGGCTACCGCCTCACGTGTTGCAACTTCCTCGAGTCGTCTCTGTTCTTCGGCGTGGACACGCGCAGCTGCTTCCTTCTCCTGCTGTTCCTTCAGCTTGCGCTCGTTGGCTTGCTGTTCTTTGAGACGGAGTTCCTTCTCGTGTTGTTCCTTTGCCCTGCGCTCCTTTTCCAGCTGTTCCTTGTGTCGAGCCTCCTTCTCCGCCTGTTCCTTCGCCTTCACCTCCTTCTCCAACTGCTCCTTGTGAAGACGCTCCTTCTCCAGCTGTGCCTTGTGATGGGCCTCCTTCTCTAGCTGTTCCTTGTGAAGACGCCCCTTCTCCAGCTGGGCCTTATGGCGGGCCTCCTTCTCCAAATGTTCCTTGTGAAGGCGCTCCTTCTCCAACTGTGCTTTATGGCGGGCCTCCTTCTCGAGTTGCTCTTTATGAAGACGCTCCTTCTCCAGCTGCGCTTTGTGACGAGTTTCTTTCTCCAGTTGTGCTTTATGATGAGCCTCTTTCTCCGCCTGCTCCTTCGCCATCCGCTCCTTCTCCAAATGTTCCTTGTGAAGACGCTCCTTCTCTAGTTGTGCTTTATGGCGGGCCTCCTTCTCAAGTTGCACTTTAAGAAGACGCTCCCTCTCCAGCTGCGCTTTGTGAAGACGCTCCTTCTCCAGTTGTGCTTTATGACGAGCCTCTTTCTCCGCCTGCTCCTTCGCCATCCGCTCCTTCTCCAATTGGACCTTGTGAAGACGCTCCTTCTCCAGTTGTGCCTTGTGACGAGCCTCCTCCTTCGCCATCCGCTCCCTCTCAACTTGCATCTCCTTCTGATAACGCTCCAGCTCATGCTGAGCCTTCAATCTCTCCTCATGTTCACGCTGTAACCGCAGCACCTTGACCTTTGCAGCCTCTACCAAAGCCTCCGACTCAGCCTTAGCCTTTGCAGCCTCCACAGCAGCCTCGACCTCTGCCTTGGTAAACGCAGCGAAATCCTGCCTCCCTTTCTTGGGGGTCACGACCTGTCCACCCCAGATCTGTTGCTCGTCTGCGAGGAGCTCTTTCTCCTGCTGCTCTAAGATCTTTTGATCCTGCGCCTGTACAGCCTTCGTTCTTGTTGTTGTAGCTGAGGTAGAAGAAGCCTTGGTCGAAGCAGTGTGATGCGGAGTAGAGTGATGCTGATGGACAAAATGAGCGATCCGATCAACAAGATCCTGTTTCCGTCCTTTGACCTTGAGCCCATTCTCCTTCAACAGCGCCTTCAAATCCTGGACCGTCATGGCTTCCAATTCCTGAGCTGTGTAGTACGGGACCCGAGATCCCGCCCTGTCCAGAGGTGCTGGTGATTGTACGGCTTTGTTTGTTGCTGAGGAAGAAGAAGAAGAGGAGGAGGAGGGTTCGGTGGTTTCCTGAAGGAAGGCTTGGTAGCTGGATCGGTGAGGTGTTGATGAGGAGGCGTAGTTGCGCTGGTAGAGAGGAGAAAGAAGGTTTGCGGAGAGCAGCTGTCTAGGGGTTGTGGTGAGGATGTAGCGCCGTGCCGCGGTGGTGGCCAGGAGTGTTGACTGTTTGAACAACATGGTTGTGTGTTATCGGTCAATTGTTTCCTGTTTTGTTGTTTTATCTGGTTCAATTGGTTGTTCCCGAGGATGTGTTGTTTACGCCACGAAGTTAAGGGACAACTGAATATTCAAAACAATAAGAGCAACAGTAAAGTTAGGAGGTGAATGCGGAGAGCAACAACAGTCGGCAAATCATTCATCTTCTCCATGAGGCGAGGCAGCAGCGAATCTCAAACGTCCTTACCTGTTGTTCCAGCAGAGAGGGGATGGAGTAAAGAAAAGTGAGGATCGGAAATAAAAGGGGAGAACAGGGAAGAAGGGAAGCCAATGCCTTTAGTGGTGTTTGTGTCTGAGACCCCTCCTTCCCCTCCGACAAGACCGGAGAGAAGAAAAAAAAAACTTTGACGCGCTTTTTGCATTAACTCCATCTCCATTGCACGTGACTTATGCACTTCATCCCCCACGTTGTTGCCGCTGCTCATTTCTTTTCATATTCTTCCGTTTGTTTGACTCAGCTTTTGTTTTTCTTCTTTTTTATCCATCTTCTCTCTCTTGTCACCTCTCACTCCACAATTTCTCACCATCTTCAAAACACATGGAAGGCTGCACCTCCGTCTCCGCCACCTCTGCGGACACTACCCCCCCACAAACAACAACAACATCAACAACACCTCACGCACTCGCAGTGGCAACGGCAGAAGCAACCTCAACAGCCATCGCAAGCACATCCTCCGATATGTCGCTCACAACCGCCCTCGAGTCCTCCTGTACCCTCTCCGATTCTTCGTCTCCTGCCGATGCTACCCTTGCTACTGGTGCCGCTAGTGCCGCTGACCTTCATCGTCCCTCGCTTTCGGGGACCCCCCTCATCGTAGCCTCTGCTGCCGATGCTTCTTCGTGCTGTGGCGGATGCACCGGCTCTTCTTCTTCAGCCGCAGAAATAGGCGCGGGCGTATCACCATTGATGACGACTATTGACGAACCCCCCATCGCCACCACCACCACCTCGCACAACCACACTCACAACACGAAGAAGAAGAGGAAGGTGGTCAGGATAGATATCTACTCCGACACCACCTGTCCATGGTGCTACATCACAAAGAAGCGGCTCGAGAAAGCGATCCACACCTTCCAACTCGCCTCTTCCTCCTCCTCTTCCTCTGACTCTGTATTGATCGACGCAGGTTCGAGCGTCGACGTCCACGAAGGGTGCTCTTCCAATCCACACCCTCCCCCTCCTCCAGTAAAATCATCAGCGCAGTCATCGTCTCCTGATCCATCCTCCTTCACAGCCTCACCAACCAACCTTACCCTTCCTCCACGCAACGAAGAGATCTACTTTGACATCCACTGGCGCCCCTTCCAACTCGACCCCCAAGCACCCCGGGAACCCATCCGGAAGTCGAAAATGTACCACCGCAAATTCGGGACAGAAAGATCCCTTCAAATCCAGGACCGGGTAGTGGCAGCCGGGAAGGCGGAGGGGGTGGTATTTTCGTATACGGATCAGTCGTTGTATTCTAACACGATTGATTCGCATAGAGTCATTCGGTTTGCCAGGGAGCGGCTTGGTCGCCTTCCTCTTGGAAGGACGAGAGAGGATGGGGGTGTGGTGGTGGAAGAGGAGGAGGGGAGGAGGAAGAAGGTGGATAGCGGGAACGCAATGTACGGATCGAACCACTCTCACGCCCAGGATCAGGAAGGTTACTTCCCCACCTACATCCCCTCCGAACACCAAGGAGAAGAAGAGTCCTATTTCTCCTACTCAAACCAACAGGAAGACGAAGAGGAAGAGGAAGTGGACGAATGGGGTGCAAGGATGGAGGACGCAATGGTCGACGAACTGTTCAGGTCTCACTTTGAACACGGCGAATGCTCACAATTCGAAACCCTCAAATCCTGTGCCAGATCTGTCCTCGTCCAAACCGCCGCTTTCTCCGCAGCCGCAGCTATAGCCCTCTCTCTTCCACCACCTCCTCCTCCTTCTTCCTCCGCCTCCTCCCTCCCAAAACCCAACAACAACACCAATGAGAGCACAGAGGAGAAAGAACACAGGGCCCACTTACTAAAGGCAAAGGAACAGGAACTGATCGACCAACAGCTGGAAGAACTCGACTTGTACCTCCACAGCGACGAAGATCTGGACGAGGTCATGGAGGAGATCCGTGTTGCAAAGGAGGATCTGGGCATGCAGGGGGTTCCTATGATCGTTATACAGAACGAGTACCTTCTCTCGGGTGCTCAGACAGCCAACACTTTTGTTCAGGTCCTCCAACGCGTTATTTAGATTTTCTTGTATCTCTTTTTAGCACGACTTTTTTTGTTTTTCACCAATGACACAACCCAATATTCAAATGTGACATGATATAATACACTATTGATACAATGTTACAACGCCTTGCCTTCCCTGAGACTATCCAAAAATTCAATCCCAGAGGTCGTAGTCGTCGAGATCAGGCAGGATCTCGTCGTCGTCCCCAAACTCAAACTCATTGTTGCTACTGCTGCTCGGATCGCCCCACAACTGCCCCTTCTTGGCCGCCGCTCGACTCTGTCCTACTTCCGCTTGTCTCCTCTGACTCTGCACCGAACCCTGATCCTGAGTCCGACCTTGACTATGTCGTGGACTCTGCCCCTGTCCATGTCCATGTCCAAATGAAGACCGCTGCGACTTCCCTCCTTGACTACCAGATGGTGACCCTTTGGCCGCCTCGGCGAACCTGGTGCCAGATAGGGTTCTTGCAGACACAAATCCTTGATGGCCATTCGACACCTTGGGAGTGTCCTGGTCTCGAGACCTGATGCTTCCAGGTACCTCATACCGCTCCCTCACGTCTTTTTCGACAACCTGCCTTCCCCATACATCATCATCCGAACTCTCGATCAGCACGACCTCCTGCGGCGACGGTGGTGCTTTGGCGGTTCTTATGCTGCCGGCTGCCTTCGCAGTGGTTTGTGGTGTCCTTGGAGCCAAATAATCCTGATGATTGCCTGTAAAAGTAGGCGCCTCCTGGTCAGGCTGATACCACTGCCCTGCGTTAGGCACGGGTGGGATATCAAAGACAACAAACGCCATTGCAGGCTCCAGAACCAAGGACACCTCATCCACCTCCTCCTCGCCAAGGTCATCCTGACCAAGCTCGGAACCGTCATCCCCCGAGGCCGAGGCTCTATACCACAGTGCCGGCAATGTAGCAGGCTCCTGGAAATCAAACCCCTTCTGTGGTCTTGCTCTCGGCTCGTGCATTAGAACGGGATGGTCGTCATTGTCGTAAGGCGAGGGCGACATGGTGGGTCCTCGGCTGTACTGTTGATCCTCCAGGAACCCAAACGTGTTGTCGAGTCCACCCATAATCTCTCGATCAACTTCGTCGTCCGAGACAGTATGAAAGAACGACTTGATCGAAACTTGAGCAGCAGCGGTCGTAGGCTTGGCCTTGGTATCTGGTTTGGGCAGATCTCCACCTTCGTTCATGGAATCCTTCTTCTCGGCCGCCATAGTCTGCTTGCGCCGAGGCTTGGGCATTACCTTGAGACGGCCATGATCTCCTCCTGTCTTGCTGCGACCAGCATCATCGTCGGTAGTCGTATGATCCTCCAGCTCCGAATCGCTCAGTATGACTTTCCTACGACGACCTGGTCGAGAAGAACCCTTGGTGCCTCCCATGCGTCGGCCAAGATCCTCCATCACATCATCATCCAGCGAATCGTGTGAGTAGGCGTCGGACTTTTTGTTCCTGCTCAAGAAGGACTTCATCGCCGACCTGGACCGTCCTGCACTGTCGTCATCCTGGCCCTGATACATATCCTGATCCAGAGTCTTCGACTTTTCGAGTAGCGCCAACATTCGCTTGGTATAAGGGTCCGGCTCGTCTGACGCCAAAGACCTCGAGGCACTATTCAGCGACTGTTCGACCCGGGCTTTGGCCATCCGGTTGACATTCTTGATATACTCCAGTGTCCGAGTCGAGTGGCCAACCACAAAAGTCTTGTCTGGGACCATAGTAGACCTCTTGTTCCTCAACATCGCCTTACACGCACTGCGAAATGTAATCTTCGGGATCTGCTTCTTGGGCAACCGATACCGCTGCAGAAACTGCGCCTGTTCGTCAGGCTCCAAATACGCGCCACGCAACCGATTCGTCTGCGCAGGAGTCTCGTTTTCGAGTCGTTTACGTTTCTTGGCGAGTGCAGGGTTAACGTAGGTGGGGACGTTGATGTTGAGGAGATCGCAGGTGGGGAGTGGTCCTGCGGGGATGATCTTGGGATTCTCGGGATAGTACACGATCTGGTTGCCCTGCGTGATCGCCTTTTGCACAGACTTGTAGGTCGACTGCGACTTGCGGTACTTTCCCTCCTCCTGACCCTCCGCAAGTAACAAGCAGATCTTTCCCGCGCGCTTGCGTCCTGTGCGACCCATTCTTTGCAGCTATTAGCATGCAATGGGCACCAATAAAATAAGTTCATTGGTTCAAGCATCAATGCAGATATTCATGAGAAGTTGCTATCAAATGATGAAAGTCGATGGGTTAACTTACCATGCGGATAGGCGAAGAATGACTGTCGTAACAGACGATCAGGTCGACATCTCCAATATCCAGGCCCTCCTCTCCAATCGATGTCGCCACCAGGACATTGTACTCTCCCTTCTGAAAGTCAGCCACAACCTATGTTGTAATAAATGGGAGCAACGAAGACGACGTTAGAACGGACACCAAATACAATTGCACTGAGGATCAAATTACAAGAGGTCAGAGGGGTACCTTCTGCTGCTCCTTTTGAGAAATGCCCTTTTTGCCCTTGGCAGTGGCCTGTCCGATGAACTGCCGGACCTTGATCAAGGGTCGGTGCTTCTCCAAAACTCTGCTGATCTCGTCGACTGACTCTCGAAAATTGGCAAATATCATGACGCGCGTCTGTGTAGGAGTAGCACGGTCGCCAGCGCCAGCGGTAGAAGACAAGCCTTGGGACGCATCGGTCTTGTCCTGGTGATCCATAAAGTGCTTAATCACAATCGCCACCAACCGCTCAATTTTGGGATGACTGACAAAATTCGGCTGCCTGACCTTGACCCGAATCTGATCCATCATCCTCACGAACTCTGGGTTATCCTCCATCGCTTTCCGAGCCAACGACGCCTTGATCTCATCATCCTCTTCGTCATCTTGGTTGTTTTTGTTCTTCTTGGAGCCGGTGCTTCCTCGACCTCTTCCTGTAGCCTCCTCCTCGTCCCGATCTGCTGCAGCGGCCCTCGAAGAATATGGGTCCATGTTAACAAAGAATGGCCAGATACCATAGATGACAAGCAGCTCGTAGGCAGCGACCAGACTCATGCAGATGAGAGAGGTCCTCACAATGAGGTTCTTGGTGGACGAGTTGCCTCTGTTGTCCTGCGTGTAGCCGTTCTTCCCCTGCAAAATAGCAAACCGGCTTAGCTGCGCAGGATCAGCAGTCCTGATGACACCATATTTCATAAGCCGCTCCAGATGAGGCCGCATCATCCTCGCAAATTTGTCCCGAATCTCGCTAATATCTCTCCCACAGGGGACCACGATCTCGGCGATGTTGCGCTTGAACACATACGCCTGCAGGTCCATTGAATCCTCTGTCCGTGACTCGATCTTGGCAATCTTGAGGTTGGTGACAACCTTTTGGACCGCTCGGATGTCACTTCCAGGGGTAGCACTCAGTGCCAAGATCCGGACATCTCGATTAATGGGCTCCAGCTCTCGAACGACTTGCGAGTACGCATAGTTTCCTGTCGCACGATGGGCCTCGTCGACCACCAGACAAACTAGATCCTTCGCGGGGCAAAGTCCACTCTTGAGGTCGTTGTTGAGGATCTGGGGCGTGCAAAAGAATACTCGTTTATCCTTCCAGACCTGTTGTCTGAGCGCCGGGTTGCTCTGTCCTGTCAGCTCCACGGTAGCTTCCTGGGGGATTCCGCAGATGTTGAAACAAGCCTCAATCTGTTGGTTGACAAGGGGTCGGGTCGGTGCCATGAAGACGATCTTGGATTTGGGAAACCACCGAAAGTAGTTGAGCATCACCACAGCAGCGATGAAGGTCTTTCCGAGCCCTGTGGGGAGCGAGACCAGGGTATTGGTGTAGAGCGCCCGCCGAATGATGTTGTACTGGTAGTCACGCTTCGGGTAGTTGATGGGGTATTGCCAGGTGAGGATCGCCCGGTCGTCGATGGTATGGTGGGTCGGTCTCTGGGCGGGTTGGTTAGGGATCTCTGGGCTCTTGTAGATGTCTTCTGCAAAGTCGTTGTTTGGGTCGGACCGAGGGATCATGGCGGTGTTGTTTCTGTTGTTATTGGTGTTTGTTTTCCTCAGTGTCGCGAAGCCGTTATTATTATTGTTGTTGGCGTTAAAGTATGACAACGCATTGTTGTTCCCAGCCATGGGTCCAGATCCTGCTCTTGCCAACCCTTGGATGTTGTTATTGTTGAATCCATTGGCGTTGGCGTTGCTGTTATTGTTGTTGGTGGGGTTGGGTTGATTCGTTGCGCCACCAAATATCGAAAACAACTTTGTCGTTTGCGCAGGCTTTGTCTGAGCCTGAGGAGGTGTGGCCTTGTTGAAGAGCTGTTGACCTTGGCCTTGACGTTGCTGTTGGTGCTGTTGTTGTGGAGGCCTTGTGTTGTTTCCAGAAAAGAAGTTCGACCGGACAGAGACAGCAGAGGATGAGGACGAGGCAGAAGGCGCGGGGGTGTTGTCCTCGTCCATGAAGTCCTTGTCGTCCAACAACAACGCGGCATCGTCCAGATCTCCGAAATCCTCAAACTCATCCCTCTGCTGTAGTTGCTGTTGCGCATTGTTGTTGTTGTTGTTGTTGTTGTTGTTGATGGCAGGAGTGGTGTTGTTTCCGTTCGATTGGAAGAATGTGTTTTGTTTGTTGTTGCCGTTGGATGCAATAGTGGACTGATTCCAGCTATGTTTAACAGAAGGCTGATGTTGATGTTGAAATTGCTGAGACTTGTAGTCGTTGGCGAGCATGGCCTTTTCGTCGTCGTCGAGGTCGAGATCGGCGAGGTCGCCAAATTCAAAGTCGTCGTCCATGGGAGGGGCCATTGCGTCTTGTGGCCAAGTCTGGCCTCAGCTAGGGAGGTCGAAGGTCCGTTGAAGAGGGGTCGTTGACGTGGTGTTAAAGGAAGGGGAGGGTGTGAATGGGTCTCAAGGTAAAATTATTCTGGCATTAGGAGGCTGTGACTTTGTATTAGGTAACAACGCGTGCGCGCTATGTTCTGTTCCTTGTTGTCAGACAAGAGAAGGAGCATAAAGCTCAAAGGTGGGTGGATGAAATGGCGGTAGATTGGAGAGATAGGCTGTCAAACCACTGATTGATCATTGCAGAGGCAGGAAGAACAAAAACAACATAGAAAAGTAACAAACGAATGAAGGTCAATTGGCATGAAAAATAACATGGCAAGCATTGCAACTAGGATATGCCCTTGTTCAAAGACTGACAGATATTTAAACAGTCATCCTCTCCTACCACGAGCTACTCAAATGGCAGTTCAAAAGCGTCACCAACGACTTACAAACCTAGGGCGCACTGGCATGCAGCCTATCTCCCATCCGTCACCTTCGCTGTTCTTTTCTCATAATATTTCTGCATACCGTATACTTTAGCAGTGGTATGGCAAACATGCCATTAGCAGGCCGTCATTCTTGTTCTAACAACGCGCAGAGACATGCTATAGCAATGACTCTTCAAACGCAATTAGGCTCCTCCTCTTCTTCCTAGCTAGGGGTTCCTGCCTAGAGAAGTCAAGCTCTACTCCAACCTAAAGGCTACTCGAAACCATCACCACAGTCTCAATTACAGTACAATTCCCGAGAGGGAAAGCGATCCACGACAAGTCTGTGGGAAAGGAAAGCAAACCGCAGTAAGAGGGTAAGAATTTTCCCTTGAGAGTTCCAAGGCAAACGAAATATGCTCTCAACGAAAAAGAAAGTTGATCGAGATGCATATACTTTTTTTTTTATTTCTCCGGAATGCTTACCGACAGGGACAAACGGGCGTAGGAGGCTGTCCTCTAGCGTAGACGGATAGGAGTGCACGAATGAGCCCTTATAGGGGTAAAAAAAATCATATCCGAGATGCGCACATCCGGAAGGAGAGAAGAAGGTAACCATAAACTGCTTCGATGGCAACATCCAAATCCGCCCCTCCCGTCATTATTCTCCGTTCTGGACCCTGGTCCTAGTTCGAAGGTTGGGGACTAAACTTGGTGGGGAAACAAACGTAATAAACTGCGTAGCTTGTCATCTCACCTTTTCAAGTAATGAATGATGTTTATCCAAGGTTGGCGTATCATCAGGCAAAAGGAAACGCCGACAAGATTAGGGATGAGTATGGGATGGTCCATTTGTTCAATAGGATGGCGATCCCTTATGTCAACCTCTTGCTTCCATACCTCTCACTCTCTGAATCGCCCTTTTCCCTATCGATCATGACATGTGCGCATGCTGAGATATTCGAAGCAACGCAATTGAACAACTCCCCAAAGCAGATCACAAGCAACAGCAACAAAAAAAATGAAGGAGAAACAAAACCACCCGACCGATTTTTCAACTCCTTCCTCTGCTCCCGTTTCTTCCTATCAATCCGCTTCCCCCTGAGAGAACACCTTCTCGTTCATTGTCCCTGAGTGTTGTTTCTTGCGGAGTCCCAGGAGGAGGAGGGAGGAGGGACAAATGACAGCCTAGTTTATTTTTCAACAAATGAGATGGCTGAAGGGTAGTTATCGTAGTCATAAAAGGTAGAGAGGAGAGGAAAGAGAGGAGAGAGAGCAGGCTGCAGCGAAAAGGAAAGACAGGAAGAGAGGAGAAGGAAGGAGAGGGTACCGGCAGCGATCCGGAACCAAATATGAAATGATCAGCCAATAAGGACGACGACCAATTTCTATTTTCATTTGCATGGCAAATGTTATAATTTGGAGTCCATTGGACTTGGGGATAAAGACAGCCATACCCAGGAGAGAATGGCGTGCTGCCATGACCCTCTCGTCCTTTCTTTCTTTCAAAGCCCAAGGGTGGGCAATTCACACCAAGGCTAAAGCTAGTCAACAGCTTTAATTCGAGTGAAGGATAGTGTGATTTTTTTTCTTTCTCTAACAATTCAAGCGGCGCCTCAAGGAGTTAACCAACCAGTTTCTTAGCAAGGAAGGATGATGATGGGAAGAGAGAAGTCCATGTCTCTCAAAGGAGTCATGAAAAAATTAGCAAGGGACTAATACAAAAATGAGGACTGGACCAGGGGAAGGCATCCGATTAGTGAACAAGGATGAAGGATGGATGAGGGATGGGAACAAAGAAGAGACACTAATTTCATTCTCACACCACCATCCACTTTTTGATCACGTATTATTCCTATCATCATGGATTGTCATTCACTTCCACCCTCAGTCTCATTGCTGATGCTATGGTTTTCGTTGTCGTTGCAGATGCCTTCCTGTATACCGACACCAACAGCAACAAGGAGGATGTGTGCACGCTCAATTGCTTACCCAAAAAAGAACAATTTTCCGCAGAAGGAGTATGTAGATGACCTCAATGCGCCTATGTTTGGGTTTGTTTGGGTTTACAAAGTACACAAAAGTAGGTTCCCATGAGGTTCTGTGTGTTGCCCGTTTAAGTTGGCTTACAGCTGCGCATTCAAACAAGCAAATCCGCCTGGTGTTACAGCAATTACACCTCTCCCTCTCCCTCCCACTCAACCCAACGCGCATTATTATTGCAGTCCTTCTGTCATATATGGACAAGAGAGAGAACCAAAGCAAGAAAAGAAAAGAAAAGAAAAGAAAAATAAAAGAGGGATGCTGTCCCGATCGGGTCACTTTCTCACGCCCACGATAACCCAAGAAATGAACCTTCTTTTTCTTTATTTCTCTGTCTTTCTCTGAAGGGAATAACACATCAGGGCCAATGCTTCGTTCCAGCCCGGTAAGTGGGTCATTTTTCGGGGGCAACCATCTCTCCTCTGCGCTGTTCATCGCTCTCATCTCCTGCTGTTCAAAGAAGAAAAAAAGAAAAAGAATGCAAGCAAATCCCCGCTCTGGCCAATAGGACCAATTCCCCAGGAGGACAGAGGGCCTATTTTTTCATCATCGATGCCCCTTGTCTCCTTCTTTTAGTCAAATCGCATGCTGTTATGAGACACCAGCGAGTCTCTGAGTTCCTTTTGCGGACACTCAATCCATACTTGCTTACCCTTTTGGATTGTATGATGTTTATGTGTATTTTGGGCCAAGTAAACGGAGCTGAAGGGAAAAAAGAAAGACAGAAAGGAAAGGAAAGGAAGAATGAAGGAATCCTTCGGGTTCGGACGAAGGATCGATAAGAGCACAGAAAGAATGAGGAGTTCAATCAGCAAGGATGAGGGGCAGATTCAACTGAAGTGAGAGACGAAGGTCAAGGTCAACAAGTGGCAGAGTAGGAGGCGAATCCCCTCGCATTGAGAAGGAGAATTGCACACAAACGAAAACGAAAAAACATGTTATTTGCAAAGTGAATGAAGGGGGATGTCTCGGCTGGTTCATTACACATTTCCCTTCCCTTGGTAGTCAATTGAAGGACGATAAGGCGTCTTTTCTCCTCTCTTGAACCTCGAGTTCAGGGTTTGTCGGGACTATGGAGAACTAGTTAGTCATTGATGACGCCCCTTTCAGTCCTTAACTTGTACTTAAAGGACGCCCCTCTCGCCCTTTTTTTTCTGTTTTGTTGAATTAAAAACTTTTTTTTCATTCCCTCCCTGATCGTCTAATACCCAGTCCTTGGACTCTTTCATTCCTCCATCTCTCCCTTCTTTCTCTCCCACATCCTTCCTCCTATTCCCCTTCTCTTCTTTTCATCCTTCTCTCCCATCTTTCACTCACATACCCCTTCCCTCCCCTCCCCCTTCTCTCATCCTCCAAAACAATAAGAAATAAGAGATGAAGACTGAATACGAAGACGAAAAGGCATCGTCAACCCTCGGCCGGACAGCCTCCTTCAAGGCCGACGACTATGTCCACACCGACCACCCTGTCGCCTTTACCGAGGAGAAGCGTGATGGCGAGGACCTCGTTACCGCAGATGATGATGAGGAGTTCCCTCCTGAGGAGCATCAGTTCACCTGGTACGTTAGTTTGATCTGTGATGGATCAACAAAGATTTTCATGATCAGTTGAACACATGTTTGCTGCAACACACAAAAATTTCCGCTGTGCTTTTTTCTTTACGTTACACACACATACATCCGACCTGGAGACCCGCTTCCTTCCCTTGTACAAAACGTAGCGCACACATTAACCGACCCTTCCTTCCTTTCCCCCTTCCTTACTCCTTCATCCTCTTACAGGCGCGCAGCTATCGTCGGCTCCCTTCTCGGATGCGTCGTCGCAGCCTCCAACCTCTACGTCGGACTGAAGATCGGCTGGACCTTCGGTGCCTCCCTCTGGGGCGCCATTTTCGGCTTCATCATCCTCAAGCCCCTGTCCCGTCTCGCCGGAAACTCCTTTGGCCCCCGCGAGAACGCCACCTGCCAAGCCGCCGCCACCACCGCCGGAGGTCTCTCCACCGGATTCGTCACCGCCATTCCTGCAATGTATCGTATGGGCCTCATGGGCGAGGGTCGTATGCCCAAGGATGATGCTTTGACCTTGGTCCTTTGGACTACCTCTGCGGCCTTCTTTGGTATGTTCTTTGCGGTCCCCTTGAGGACGCATTTCGTCATCAACCAGGATTTGGTCTTCCCTACCCCTCGCGCTGCGGCAGAGACGATCCGGAACTTGCATCGGACGGGGTCAAAGGCTGCGAACGATGCCAAGAAGACGGCGACGATCATGATGATTGCTTTCTTTGCCGCCATGGTCTGGGTTCTCATCGGAAACTGGATCCCCGGTATTTTTGATACCGTTCATATCCTCTACTGGATCGGTCATGCTGCTGGATACGCCAAGCTTCAGCACGCAGATCAGGTCTGGGGTTGGGCTTGGTCGTTTGATTTCTCGTTCTTTGGTGCTGGTATGATGACCCCCGCTTCGACCGTCTTCTCCTTCATGCTCGGAGAGTTTATTGCCTACGGTGTTGCTGGTCCCCTCATGGTCGATTCGGGTTACCTCGAGGGCCCCCGTGGATTCACAAAGCCCAACAATGGAACTGCCCAGTCTTGGTTCCTCTGGCCCGGTATTGCCCTCATGGTCTTCACCGCCTTTGGAGAACTCGGCGTCAACGGCAAGTCGCTTTGGCACGGTGTCACCTCTGGAGTCCGTGAGGCCCGCAACTTGGTCCGTCGTCTCACAAAGCGCTCCGAGCTCGTCGATTCCTCCCAGTACGTCAGCAAGGACACTGTCCCCCCTCACGAGCAGGTCCCAACCCTCTGGTGGGTCACCGGTCTCATCATCTCTGCAATCTTCACCATCGTCCTCATGGCTCTCGACTTCAAGGTCCCCGTCTACTCGTCCATCCTCGCCATCATCCTCTCCTTCATCCTCGCCTTTGTTGGCCTCCAGGCCGCCGGTGAGACCGACATCAACCCCACCGGATCCATCGGAAAGGTCACCCAGCTCGTCTTCTCCCGCTTCCCTGGAGAACTCCATGTCGTCCAAAAGACCAACCTCATGTGCGCCAACATCTCGGCCTCGATCTGCGCCCAAGCTGTCGACATGGTCGGAGACTTGAAGACCGGTCACTTGTTGGGAGCCTCCCCCCGTTCCCAGTTCCTGGCCCAATGTGTCGGCTCCGTCTTTGCCATCGCCGCCGCCGTGCCCCTTTTCATCCTCTACACAGAGGCCTACCACTGCATCGTCGACGCAACCATCGAGAAATGCGAATTCGGACTCGTCTCCGTCGTCACCTGGCAATCAGTCTGTGAGATCCTGACCACCGGTGGCACCGTCCCCAAGGGTTCCGTCATCACTGCCTGCATCTTCGCCGTCCTCGCCATCGCCAACATCCTCATCCGTATCAAGCTCATCCCCCAGAAATGGCGCCCTTACTGGGTCAACCTCAACGCCGTCGGACTTGGTCTCATCAACCCCTCCCCCGCCCTTGCCATGGCCATGTTGACCGGTTGGGCTGGTGGTCGTATCTGGATCCAGATCAACAAGCTCGCCCACGAGAAGTACATGTATTCTGTTGCTGGTGGTTTCATTTCCGGTGTTGGTGTTGCTGGTATTATCAAGGCCATCTTGGTTCTTGGCGGTGTCAAGGCCGGTACCGTTCTCTGGGCATGCAACGACGATATCTGCTAAGCCCTTTTGGATGACGTTAATTAGAGTAATTTGGGGGCAGTTCCCATTTTTTTAAAAATATGCACTAAGCATGCCCCCCCACTTCCATGTACATTAAAACTACCACTCCTTTTTTTCATTTGCACATGTATTTTTCGCACGGTACGCATGCTCAATTTACGAAAATGACGATGGCTCCCCCCCCCCCCTTCACTTCAAACTGTGGGAGGAAAGGTTCTGAGCAATGACCCAAGTCTGCCCTTTTGCTGCTCCACTCCTTCGCTCTCTTTCCTCTCATGAGTACGCCACTGACGAAGAAACAAAAACAAATAACAACAACAAAAGACCAAAACAGAAAAAAATGAGATTGATTGATATAAATCGGCACTCAGCTTACACATGCTATTAATAAGGTGTCGCATTATGTATTATTTTTACAGAAAAGAAAGAAGAAGAGAAGCTGGATCATCATCCTCCGCCCACCCTCATCCTATCGCTCCATCCCCTCCTCTTTCTCTATCTCAATCCATCCATTATCTCTCCTTATCTTTCCCCCTTTCGTCGCTTTGCTTGTACAGTGTTCAGACGAAGGAGCCAAGCAAGAAGTTCAAATCAACAGAGCAACTGTATGGAGCGCATACGCTGCTCCAAATCCCGCAATTCTGCCTCCAACTTTGTTTGCTCCGCCTTGACAGGATCTCTTGACCTCGCACCAGGACTCATCGCTCCTCCTGCTCCTTGTTGAGAGCTCTGGTGACCCTGTCCATGTTGCTGAGGTTGTTGACAGTACTGTTGGTGATGAAGTTGGTCATGTTCTCGCTGCGCATACTCCTGCTGCTGAAGCGTCATATTCCGAAGTCGTTCCTGTAACCTATCCATCATCACCATCCCTCCTCCTACTCTTCCACCTCCACCTACCCCTCCACCTCCAAAACTCGTACAATCTGGTATCCGGTCCAACCCCGCCAACGAAAACGGCGGCGTCGACGACCCACTCCTCCTCCCTCCTGTACCTCCTCCTCCTCCTCCTCCTACACCCCCATCATGCCGACTCCTAGAAGCAGCATTAGAAAACAAGGACGCAGAAGTCCTCGAGAACTGGTCCATCATCTGGTCATACTCCCCCGGGGACATCAAATCGCGTTGTTGGACCAATTGTTGTTTTAGTAACTCAAGTTGTTGGATCTGGGTCCGGAGCGAGTTGACTTCGAGACGGAGTTGGATCAGGAGTTGGTGTTGGTGGAGTCGTTGGAGTTCTTGGTCGGCATTCAGGTGTTGTTCGTAGGGGGATGTTGGGCCGCTGCTGTGGAGGTGTTGGTCGTGGTAACCATTGGCGGCGGCGGTGGCAGTGGTGTTGCCGAAGGCTAGGTAGTGGGGTATCGGGTCCTCGTACATCTTTGTTGTGTAGTTTAGTGTGGAACGGTGGGTCAATTGGTGTCGTTGTTGCTATCTGTTGTTGTTGTTGTCAGTGAATGTGTGGATGTTGGCAGTGGTTGTCGAGAGAGTGGACGTTGATTGTTTGGTGAATGTGGAAACAAGACGACAAAAAGTGAAGAAGTCGTGTTGTTGTTGTTTTAGGTTGTGGGTGAAAGTAATGAGAGAGAAATAAGAAGGGAATGACGAATGAGAGAAGGAGAGAAGGAGAAGAGGGAGAGAGAGTGAGAGAGTGGGAGAGAGAGACAAGAGAGACAATGAGTGACCCACGAGGAAAAGGAGGGAGAGAATGAAGAGAGAGAGAGAGAGAGAGAGAGAGAGAGAGAGAGAGAGAGAGAGAGAGAGAGAGAGAGAGAGAGAGAGAGAGAGAGAGAGAGAGAGAGAGAGAGAGAGAGAGAGAGAGAGAGAGAGAGAGAGAGAGAGAGAGAGAGAGAGAGAGAGAGAGAGAGAGAGAGAGAGAGAGAGAGAGAGAGAGAGAGAGAGAGAGAGAGAGAGAGAGAGAGAGAGAGAGAGAGAGAGAGAGAGAGAGAGAGAGAGAGAGAGAGAGAGAGAGAGAGAGAGAGAGAGAGAGAGAGAGAGAGAGAGAGAGAGAGAGAGAGAGAGAGAGAGAGAGAGAGAGAGAGAGAGAGAGAGAGAGAGAGAGAGAGAGAGAGAGAGAGAGAGAGAGAGAGAGAGAGAGAGAGAGAGAGAGAGAGAGAGAGAGAGAGAGAGAGAGAGAGAGAGAGAGAGAGAGAGAGAGAGAGAGAGAGAGAGAGAGAGAGAGAGAGAGAGAGAGAGAGAGAGAGAGAGAGAGAGAGAGAGAGAGAGAGAGAGAGAGAGAAAGTGGAAGTAACGAGAGTAAAAAAGAGGATAAGAAGAAGAGCGGGTATGGATGGCGCTGGTTATGGAGTGTGGGAAAGGAGGGACAAGGGGAAGGGAAGGGAAGAAAAGAGCGGAGCAGGACAAGATGAAAAAATTGACTAAGGAAGAACGTGATGATGATGTGCTGCCTTGTGCGTGTGCTTTTGATATTGCGATACTTGCTGGGAACTGCAGTCGGAGGACATCAGCCAATCAAATCTAGCCTGAAGACTCATTTCCCTCGTCTCCCTCTCTCCTCATGGGAAGCAGTCACTCTCGTCATCTTGTCATGCTTTTGTGCCTGGGTAAAAAGGGTAAAAAAGGAACAATGCAACGCTCTCATGCACAAGCACACAGACAGGACAAGAATACAGGAGACAGGACACAAAGAGACACTCATAGGACAAAGACAAGGTACGCCCACGGATGTACTACGGGAAATATTTATTCTACATATATTCACCTCGACACAGAGGGACATATGCAATGGTCAGGGCACGGGGAGACTAACACCAAGCAAGCGCATCATCCTCGGCAAGGACCAAAGGGAAGACCATACTCGACTCCAAAACATTTAGTCCCTCTGCCGAGAAAGCCTTTTCCTTTTTGTTCACTTTACCACTCTTATGGACACTCAAACAACAATATTACATCTGCCCACTGTTCCAATCCCATCCTATCAACAACAACATAAAAAAGAAATGCCTCATCGTGTTCCTCGTATGTATCCACGCACTTTACTTCTATTTCCTTCATTCTTCACACATACACATATGGGTTCACGGCCATACTCCCAGCGAGCTATCCCTCCACCTCTCCCCTTGCTTGTCCTCATCCCGCACTAATGCCTAATGAGATCATTTAGTCAAATTACCTTTTCCTATTCGGTCTCCTTCCCTATTTCTGCACTTTTACTCCTGGCGCGTAAAACGTTTCATCGCATTAGCAATCTATCAATAAAGGAAACATGCTCACAAACAATACATTCCCTCGCCCATAACTCCACCACTTGGGTCCTTCTCCTCCTGAAAAGAAAGGTCAATTGCCGAGGCAAGACGAGTAATAGGAGAACAAACCTGCGACAAGGGGAGCAGCAGCAGCGGAAGTAGACTAACAAATGCAATAACAGTCCGAGAGAGAGAGGTCACAAAGCACGCAGTTTGCTCACCATGCCTTTTCTCGTATGATGTACTGTTTTCAAGGAGTAGAAAAGTGGGTGGTGGGGAATAGAGGGAGTAGAGAGCGAACAGTAAGGAAAAGGGTGGCAAAAATGTGCGAATGGAGGTAAACATGTCTTGTTCCTTTTTTTTTCCTTTGAGGCATTGCTATCAAGCCGAAATGTGTTGACTACGGACGTGTTCTTTAGTCCTCGTTCATACAACGATATCACTTACACAGGAGAGAGCTAAACACCGGAGTAATGGTGCATCAACTATCTCCCCACAGCTTGCAACAAACGGCGTGCATACTGAGCAAGGTTGAAACAGTTTTAGGATGATGCGGTTCACAAAAAAAGGAGAGAGAGACAGTTCACATCCTATTTTTCCTTCAATTCATTTTACTCCGTTCGAGAAAGGAGCGACAAAACAAAAGGCGTACAAAAAAAACCAAAGGAAAGGTGCTCAACGGACAATTGCGCACGGATCGATCTTCATCTCTTTATTTCCCTGTGAAGATGCGGTGCCTAGGGACAGAAAGGAGATGCTAGGAGATGCGATGGCATATGTACATAATCTCACCGTAGGTCGACTCACTATCGCCTACTATCTATCTCTCTATATATCTATCCGCTCTCCCTTTCTTTCTCTCCGAGACCTCCTGCATCTGGAAAAAAAAATAGGCTCTAGGATTTCTGTTGTTTTTTCCTCACCTGCGTCCTTTTCCTCGGTAAAAACAACGTGCTTTTTCCGCAAAGCTTGTTTTTTTCTCCTTCGACTACGACAGGAAGCGATAAGCCGCGTCTGGGCGCACCTGTTGTGTCTCCAATCTCTCCAAACGAACTGTCGGTTTAGTATCCGACCGCTGGTAGGGTACTCCTTTTGTCTTTACCGGGTAAGTGACATAAACAGACAGGTGTACACAACATATTCACACGAGAGCGATCGAGTCTAGAAGATCCTTCTCAACTACTGTTCCTATCCCCCCCTAAAGATGCGGCGGATCGTTACCCTTTTTGCACATAGTGACACGAAAAGGTACCCGTTCGATCTACTCCGTCTCGCACTACACGATGAGTGACTGTTGGTTGTTTATCTGCTAGTAATTGCATCCCCGACGAGGTACGAGTCGTCTTTTTTGTGTATTCTTTCCAAGGACAAGTTGTGAACTGAGCTCTTTTTCTTTTACGCCTTTGGTTTCTAGCATTCAGTATCCTTGCCTTTTTCGATGAGGAGACTGGAGGTATTAGTCAGATCGACTATAGGGATGAGACAGAGGAGTATGGCTCCCGGGAGAGTGAGTGTTGGGCATGAGTGTTCAGAGAGAAAAAGAAGACAATCGATAGAGAAGGGACAATTGCTGACCATAACAGGCAATCCAAGAGAAAGAAAGACTATTGCTTCTCTTATCAATTAGCCTACTGGAGCCAGTAAACAGTGGTAGTGGATCTGTTTTGTCTAAGTGTTCGGTGTTCAGTGTTCAGTGCGAGTAATTGGATGCCCATTCTCAGCGAAGGAGCAAAGAAGAAAAGAAAAGAAAAAGAAAGGCGACCGGCGGTTGAAAAATAACGCAATGAAGGACAAACAAGGTTTCATGAAGGACCTCTAGGGTACTCATTTTATCTTGTTGTTGCTCATCCGTGTGGTCAATGGCCACTAATTGTCTGCGAACGAGTACCCTACCGGTCACCACTGGCCTCGTCTTTGTTTGTTTTCACCGCATGTTTGTCGAGAAGGGTGGGAAGGGAGGGAAAGGGCCACCATCTCATCTCTATCCCCTGACTGCCAACCAACCCTCCCAGCCAACCAACCCTCCCAGCCAAAAAACATATAAATTAATGGCCGAGAAGGTACTTTTTTTTTCTTTTGTTTATCACCTTTTCTCGGTAATCCTCCATCTCTTCTCCTTTTCCTCGGTAATCCTCCATCTCTTCTCCCTCTACCGACATTACTCCCCACCCCTTTGTCAACCTTCTTTTATTCCTCCTCCCCCTTAATACTAAACAACCCCCCTCCATCCCTCTGGTCTTTTCATCCACCCACACTCTCACTCCTCCACACCCCATACAACTAACAAATAACAAGTAACAATGAGGTTATCTCTCCCTTGCAGGATCACCGCTCTCAGCGCCGTTATCCTCCTCGCCACTCTCGCTCCTTCTACCCTTGCTCAGAACTCGGCTCTCGTTAACAACAACAACAACATCAAGATCAGCAATAACAGCGGTGCTGAACACTATACCGTCGCCAAGCGTGCCGGAGAAGACGACCACGACCACGATCATGACCATGACCACCCTCCTGCAACAACAACCGCCGTCGCCCCTGTCGCCCCTGGTGCTACTTTAACTTCCTCGGGCGCTATCACCAACCCTACGGCTACCCCTGTTCCAGCTCACGACCATGATCACGACCACGATCACGATCACGATCATGACCATGACCACGACGGCCACGATCATGCCCATGAGGAGGAGGAGAGCCATGAGGGTCATGACCATGACCACTCGGAAGCTGAGGCCGGCCATTCCCACGGACCCGCTCGGTAAGTTAAATGTCCAATCCAAATCCAAATGCAATCCATCCATTCCCTTATATTGTCCAATCGATAAGGATCTTTATTCAATCATCCCCACCACATAATTCACATCCTTCGACAACAGTAAACAGCCTTTTCCAACGAATGAAGAACTAACAACGAACCATCGTCGAATCATCTCTTTTCTTTTACAACAAAATAGCACATGCGAGGCGCACGACCACGACCACGGCGAGTACGTCATGTGGCACCACATCGTCGCCCTCGTTGTCCTCTTGGTCATCGCAGGCATCGGCTGCGTCCTCCCCATGATCATGCGTGAGAACAACCGCACCCGCTTCGCCGTCCAGCTTGGCAAATACTTTGGTGCCGGTGTTGTTCTCTCCGTCGCCTTTGTCCACATTCTCCCCGAGGCCCTCTTTGCTCTCACCCACCCCTGTCTCTCCAAGGCCTGGACTGATGATTACCCCGGTTATGCCCCCCTGATCATGATGATCTCTGGTTTGACCATGCTCGTTATTGAATTCCTTGCTTCTACCGTCGCTTTCAATGTCGAGGCTCAGAACAAGAAAGCTGCCGCTGCCGCTCTCTCTGGTAGCGGCATCGAGGAAGCTCATCACCACGGACATGCCCATCATGACGATTCTGACTCTGCCGAGTTCCGTGACCAAAAGTCTGGCGCTGCCGAGCCCAACACCTCCAAGTCTGCCCACCCCTCCACCTTCGACGACACTGGCTGCAACCACGCCCACGGTCTGGCCATCCTCGAATGCGGTCCCGGTGTCTCTACAAAAGTCTCGACCTACATGCTCGAGCTCGGTATCGCCCTCCACTCCATCTTCATCGGCATCGCCCTCGGTGTCCTCGCGGGGTCCGAGTTCCTCGCCATGACCATCGCCATCTGCTTCCACCAGTTCTTTGAAGGTGTCGCCCTGGGCTCCCGTATTGCCGAGTTGACCTTCAAGAAGAAATGGCTCCCCATCGTCTTGGTTTTGATCTTTGCTCTCGTTACTCCCTTTGGTGTCGCCATCGGAATGGGTATGCGGTCCGGTTACCGTGCCAACAGTGTCGAGAACTTGATCATCACGGGTATCTGCAACTCGATCGCCTGTGGTGTGTTGTTGTACACGGCCTTTGTGACCCTGTTGGGAGGCGATATCTTGTACTCTGAGCGGTTCCGTGCCGAGTCGCGTAGTCACAAGGCGAGCTACTTGCTTGCTGTCTGGTTGGGTGCCCTCACCATGGCCGTCATTGCCCTCTGGGCCTAATTCCACTTCTTTTACTTTTTGAAGTGCCCTACCCCTTATTTTTGTATAACTTTCTTCCATCTACCCTTTTCTATATTCTTGCATGTTCTCTCACCCACCCTTTAAAAACCATAGTAGTAGCTTGTACGAATAAATAGCACGAAGAATGCCGACTCTCAAGTCGATCATATAACCCATAACTCAAACGAACGTTGTCAATTGACCCACCTTTCTTGAAGACTGAAAAAAAAAGAGTACGCTCCTTTCAAAAAAAAGGAACAAAAGCAGTTCCCCAAAAGTAACATCATATCCAAACCGAACAGATATTAGTTTCAAGGGGGGGTTTTTTGCCATCATTTTCTTGCACATCTGTGCGGTGTCTCTTTGGATTGTTTGAGACCCACGTTTTCTGTCTCGCGTGTGAGATGACGACCTGATCAAGGGTGAGCTCAGGCACGAACCTCAAATGAAAGACTTTCCTTTTTTCAGAGAACTAAGGTCATGCATGGCGTTGGCCGGAAAATGATCGACTTTGTGATGAACTGTCAATGTATTGTGAAGGAAAGGAGGGTAAAAATAGTGTAAAAATATTCCCACGTACCAGACTAGAGAACAGTTTAAGTGGGCAAGAAGTATCGTTTCATTTTGGCGGTGGAGAAAGCTAGGCTATCAAACCCGAAAGAGACATTGACATCAGTCGCATATCGAAAGGAGTTCAGTTTCATTAAAAGTGTATGCTCCAGGTCTTGGGCAAAGCGAGATACGAACACGCACCAAAGGGCGCATAATTGATTACGAGGCTGTACCCGCGCAAACTGACCTTGGTCGAGGAATCTCTATACCTTAATTCTTAAACGAACGCTCTAGTGGTCTGTGAACTATTCAGAGGTATCTCCTGTCGCTGCTGTCGTTGTTTTGTTGTTGTTGTTACTCTTACTAATTAATTGAATTTCCATTTTTCATCAGGAGTTCCTCGTTACCGACAGTAGACTGAAGGAGTTGGCGTACTATTTCTATGTGAGACTTCTGCGACGCCAAAGCCCCGGAACGGCACTGGACAGTCTCAAGTTTTCTACGGGCTGTCTTGAGGGCTTCAGGAAAATAATACAGTCTCGTGAAGAGATATTCTCACGGCCAACTGGGCGACGTGGATATTGTGCTTCATACACCTCGATTTGAAAGAAATCGCATAAGGATTCTAGGACTATGACCCTTATGATATCTACAACTGTGATTGGGACTGTACCTCAAAGTCTTGTCCAGTCGGACGTTATCGCAAGGACGGGTCATGGGCGAGAAACCTAACACCTATGCCAAGGTTTCGATTTTACTGTGCTACAACGCAGAGTCTGATAAATGAAGACCGCTCGCTTTATGTAAGCTCCTTGATGTAGATGCGTTTTGTTCCGCAGAAGGCTGCATTATTTATTACTGATATTTTCGATAAGTCTGTTGTTTAAATATCTGTTAATCGTCCACAGGATCTGGATAGGGAAGTGGAGGCAAGGCTGGACACGGCGTGTCGAGGTACTGGATACATGACGCAGACCATCTTCCAGAATTGGCTCATGGTGTTTGACCAGGACATGGAAGGGTCGCTTTATGGATAGCGCCAGGGCATGGCGAAGAGTTACTGAATGTCACTATCATCTGACTTCCCCTCCCCCCCAACACTACCTCGGTGGCGCAACCATTGGATATTGGTATCATTATGCGGTTCAAGGTCAAGTACAGTCGGCTCACGGTGCCCATCGGTTCGCGGTACCGTTCCGAACGGACTTTGATGAAGGCTAAGATTCCTAGGTCTCCATTGTGGAAATGTCTCCCAACGACATGGGACATTATCACCAAGTCTTGTATCCAGAATTACTTTGCCTCAGCCCCTACCACTCTTGTGCACATGCGAGAGGCCCTGAAGACTGCCGCCAAGAATAGACCTAACGACGAGTTGGAGCAATTGAAAGCTGAGCTTTGCTTGATTTCCGGGAGCGCCTCGGCTCGATTGGGCAGTCGACCAACTATGGAGTTCTTGCGCTCCTTATGAGTATATCACGAAAAGGTCCTACCATCCACTTTGACAAGCTTACCGACTTCCTTCCCAACTACAACCATGACGTGACTGTAGAGGATGACTCATGCAACGATTACTCTGATGACGACTATGACCCTCCCCAGGTCATTCCCGAGGAAGCCAGCCTGTCTCAGCGCTCAATGAGCCACAGGTCAGGTCAGTACACCATAACTGCACCAGAAGAATTGCCTTCGTCACAAGAGGCTGCCTCCTTGCAAGAGCCTACATCATCCCAAGACTTTTCCTCAGTCGACAGAGACCAAGAAATATCATAAACGGGGTTTCTCGACAGTATTTCACCTTACGTGAAACGAATGGGACTCGATCACTTGCCTCAACCAGGCCATTCTCGTTAGAACTAATGACAGACATTATCAAGCTACAAAAGCGACAAAAGCACACCTGTTTACATGGCGTAGATCATCTTTTTGATTTTGACCAGTGGTCGCTATCCATCACAGTGTTCTTACACTTTAGTCCTTTGTGCACGCTTAGTTTAATACCTCCCTTTTTCTTTTTCCTGCCCGCAGTTTATTCGTTTGCACAATCGCATCTCGCTCTCTTCCATTCATCATCACTTCATCCATTCCATCACAACAGCAATGGCCTCTCATCTTCTTCATTCACCACACATGCCTTATCACCAACCACCTCCACCTCTCCTCAAACTTCTCTCACTCCCAGAACTATCCTCCGAGGTCCTCCAGTACCTATGGCCCTCTCAAATCCTCACTCTCCGCCTCGTCAGCAAGACCCTTGAGATACTCTGTGCCCCCCTCGTCAAGATCCACGTCCATCCTGGATACTTTAACAAACACCCCGATGTCATTCACTCCCTTGTATCGAAGACTCAACAACACCCCTCGACAAGGCCAGCACTACCTTTACTGCACTATACGACAGGATTGTTAACAGCTACACAACAAGTCGATGATCTGATAATGGCCTCACACAACCTCCATACCCTCTCCCTCCGCCCCGGCTCCCGCTCTAGAAACGACGCCATGGCGCAGCTCTTTGACTGGTTCGAAACCCACAAGGATACCTACCCCCATATCCGCGCTCTCCGTCTCAACCTCGACTTCAGTACTCCTTACCCAAAACTGTCACCAAAGAAATCCTTGACCGCATCATCAATCCTACTGTCCAAAACTTCCCTAACCTCGAATCCCTCTACATCCACGACAACGACGCCAACCACACGAACATCGATTTTGGGATCCTTTCAGAAGCACTGACCACCATGTGGACCCAATTGACAACACTCTCTCTCAATACCATGACCCCCCTCAAGATCCCTACCATGTTCCTTTCTCGCGACACCGACAGTATCGTTCACCTTGAGGGATTGGTCTTTCCAAAGGTCGAAGTTCTTGAGGTTATGATCACCGAATGGAGTACCGTGGACGTAAACGGAAGATGGACTTTTCTGGATATGTTTCCGAACCTCAAGCGCCTCTCTATCGACTTTTGCTCCACCCCTCCTTATCTTGATGAGGATGCCGATGATGAGGAGCAGCAGCGGCGACTGCGGCGACTGGAACAACGACTGGAGCAGAGGGGGGTGCTGTTCCCGTACTTGACCAACCTCGCAATCTCTATCAGCTCAAAGCGTGCTCTTTCGCGGTTCCGTACCCTCATGGGTCTCCCGCCCTCTTTCACCATCCCCACCACCCCAATCGCCGCCACACAATACCCATGCTCTCAACCCCCGCCGCCACCACTCCGAAGCCTCGCCATCGACCCCGAGTCCCAAGACCACAGTGGCGCCGTGAGCGATATCCTGAACCATGTCGGAGTCTCGCTACAAGAACTCAGGGGTACACCGAAGTGGACGTATTATTCGAACATAAGCCATTTTTTTTCGCTCTTGAAGAGTGATTGCTGTAGTGACTTGAAGGTGTTGGCGCTTTCTGAGACTTCCTTTTGGGATCTTGGTTATCTTGAACTGTTGAGTCTCCTTATGGCTCCTGTACCAGTATTACCACCAGTTCCAGTTCCAGCTCCTGGTGCCATGGTGCCGTCGTCGAGTCCTATCTCCAACCCCAATCCCAACCCCAACCTCAACAACAATATCACCCTCACCACCACCACCACCACCAGCAACAACAATACCACGGCATCGAATATGACTCCGTTGATCAGCACTTTGGGATGGACCAAGACACTGACAGAACTACGTCTAGGCTCCTTTGCCGATGATGATGACGGTCAATATGTCGATCTGGATGTGATCTCTCAGCTCAACAGGATGCTGAAGCTTCTGAAGAACTTGGTTGTTTTTGAGTTGATGCATGACCTTGAGGATCTAGAGCTGTTCAATGGGATGGGGCGGATTCCTGTCCATCGCATCAAGTACGAGTGCGAGCGTGAGACCGAGTACAAGGAAATGGAGGAGGAAACGGAGAAGGAAGGAGAGTATGTGTGGAGACGACCATTGTTGGAGAGTGTATATATTACGATTCGAGAGGATCATTCGACAAAGGCTGCTTGTAAGGAGCTGAGAGAGCGGTTTCCTCAGCTTGGGTATCTGCATGTCGCTGATGGGATTAATTATTAGAGGGAACTCCTGCTTGGACAAAGGCTTGACCGACCTACGCCTGGGGCTCCTTTGCAGTGGACGAACCACGCCAACCAACCCATCATCTCCAAACTCAACACCTTGTTAAGGCTTTTTTGCCAAATCTGGTTACTTTCGTGCTGATGTATGTTTATCGGAGACTTGAATGCCTTCAAAGGGATGAGTCGTATCCCCGTCAGTCGTCTCAAGACCGAGTCCGAGTTCTTCAAACTGAAGCGTGGTGGTATCGAGGAGAAGGAGAAGGAGAAGGAGAAGGGTAATGATGGTGTGATTCAGGGAACAAGAACCACTGATCGTTCCTGAAGGGCAAAAACGTGCATCGGCGTCTCCCCCCCTCCTTCGGACTGAGAGAAGGACACAATCTGCTGGCGAGTAATTGCATACCATGCAGCCTTGGATGTCCATGCACATTATGTGAGCGGGTGGATAATTTAGACAATTTCTTTTTTTTCATCACCTGCCTACTCTATTCATATTGAGAGTGCAATTCAACGTACTTTACAAATCCAGACCAAAGTTTTTTTATTGCGAAGGCATTCGACTTAAGATTAACTTGAGGTAGTCGTTCTGGGCTATGACAGTTTGGATGCCCTTGATAGTGTTGTTGGAAAATGTCGTTCCAGGGCTGGGATATGCTATTGTGGAAAAGGGTATTTATGTACACCTAGTAGGCAGCATGACAGGAGTTGGGGAGGGGAGATGTTATGTCTAGGGATGGAGAAGGTGGGAGGGGTGAAGGAGATACAAATCCAAAAGCAAGCACAATAACGCAATAAGTCGAGGTAACAACAACAAGAGAGAGATACTAACGTACGCTTAAATAAATACTATAGTTTATTTCATATCAGTTCTTTCTATTCATTTTTTGAAACTGATTCAATGTTGTGGTATGTTGGATTGAAGCCGCCACCTCCGCGAGAGCTGCTTTCTCCCTGTCCATGATATCGCCCTCACGCTCCAACATAATTTTCAGAACACCTCGCACGACGGCTTTCTTGAAGGTCCATAAAACGTTATAGAGGTTTCTGTTTTTAGTTGGGTCGACATATCTCCAAGCCGTAGCGGTAATATGGCTATTGGCAAAAGTGTGACGCCTGTGGACCCCCATTCAACCAATAGATTGAAGGTTGTTGGATGCCATCTCGGTTCAAACCATAAAACCATTCCTCCCAGTGCTCCTCCAGCGGTCTTGATCGAGAAATCATCTCATAGGTAAACCCACCAGAAAAGTCACACTTGATAATGCAACGACTCTCGGCCACCTCAACTGCCAGCACGTCTAGTCGCCCCTCCAAGCTCAAGTTGGGTCTAGAAGAAAGTGCCGACTGTACTTGCATTGATAGTAGCTGAGGAGCAACATCCTGTGGCACCTGTGCCAAATTCTCATCACATCCATCGCATCCAGCTGCTCGAATGACGGCGTCTTCAATTCTACAGCCTCCACTGCATAATCGTCCGTGTCGTCCAGATGATCCTCCAGTGGTGTGGCCTGATTTGACTGTTGGTTTCGCTGCAGAAGAGGAATGGGTTCAGGTTGAAGTGGTGCTGACACGGTAGTGGCGGCTGTTGCCAGACTTCTAAGCCGCTTCAACTTGAGGAGACTCTGGTGATAGAGATCTGGCATCGCCTGCAGTGCCATAAGCATGGCTTGGGCGCGTAGATCCTGATCGTCCCCGATAGCAGCTAGAAGGGTGGCCGACTGGGCAGATATACTGTTTTGATGGTGTTGGTGATGGTGTTGGTGCTGTTTCGAAGTAACTCTTTAAATTCTGCCGAAAAATCCTTTGTTGTCTGGTCGAGTCGTCGTTTGATTGTTTGGAATCCTTCTGCCATCATCGAATTTAAAAGTCGAAACTCCGCTTCTAAGTATGGGCGTTGTGGCGTAGACTGTCCGATTGAGGAGGTGCAAGGGTGAGCATCTTTGCTACAAGTCGCTCCTTGAATACGAGAAACTCGGGGCTCTTGAAGACTGGGAGGTTGAAGACGTGGTGATGGCCGTACAGGACTCCATCCTTGGATTTGAGTTCCAGAAGGGCTGCTGCGTCCTGTAGCAGGACCTTTCTCAGGTGTACAAGAAGGAGTAAAAATTTGAGTCGTAAAACGGCGGATCGGTTGGACTCGTCCGGCATTGGCATAGGGTTGGGTCTGCCACCAAGCTCGCTCCTGCCCTCCATAATATCCCTGGTCCATAGAAGCCAGTCTGGGCATTCCGTAAAGTAGTCCTCCTCAATGAAAGGAAAGATCTGTTGTTGAAGCTCGACCGGCGGTGTGAGGCAATCGCGCTTGATCCATGGAGGCAGACCAGGTTGAAAAGCACCAGTCATGGCATATGCGACGCCTTTTGGGAGGGGATGCAGGTAATGGGTATTGAGGCGACTGCCGCCGTTAGGAATGGCTGATAGAGAGGCTCCAGCATCGTGCGCATTGTTGGCTCCTGAATGGCGATAGAATTGTGTCGGTTGATTTGTCACAATTCCTGTCGCCCTGAATAATTGAGCCATGCCGTCCAAATGTGCGTTGGGTGAAAGTTGTTTGTTTTGTTTCTTTTTGCCGTTTCCATGAACCAAGTAAATATTGCGCCATCTGCCGTCGTGGAGATCAGATTTGCCCTCCTCCTGCTGTAAAAAGAAGCGAGAGAGAGAGAGAGAGAGAGATTAAAGATAGGTAAGTTTGAGTTCAAATATTAAATAATAAAGATGATTAAACGATTGTGATAGCATGCATGCTTACCGACTGCCAAAGGTAAAACAAGTAAAATGCAAGAGATCCAACTGGACAAATTCCCACCTCCGAATTCCTAACAGCAACGCCGTAGGTGCAGCTACCATGTCGTAGAGTTTCCTCTTGTGTCATGATCAGGACAATGGCGAAAGTATTCGGTCGGGGCCCGGTGATTGCACCAGTCAAGTTTGCGAAGTGGTGGAAATTGATATGAGGCAATTAGGCCATTCGAATGTTCTCTCCTCGCATCATCATAAAATGCTTCCAAGAGACAATCAGACGGGCGCGGAGACTGGTGAGCTTATGGGGCTGATTCTTGCCGCCTTTGCTGTCCTCGTCCTTGGGGTATCGATCCATCCATGCCGCCTTCATTACATCCTGCAATTTGTCGAGTTCCCTTCCATTTGCATGATTGATGGTGGCGTATTTTTTGGATTCCGTCCTTGGGTCCCCCGCAATTCGTGTTTTGTAAGCGCTGGTGATTGCATCGACTGCTGCACCACGTATGGCACTTATGGGACCTCCTCCTTCCTTCAAAAATCCACTGTTCCCTTGCGACATGCGAAGGTCATTAACGCCGTTGATATGTTGGAGTAGTGTTGATAGGTTGGGCAGATCCCTAATGGAAAATATTAACCAGGGCGATGATAGTGATGGGTAATATTAGCAGTAGGAAAAAGTGAACAATGAAATAAAGAGAGGGGTCTGTTTAATTCAGGGACGAAGAGCCCATTTGTGCTCTTCGTCTAGGTGATACACATGATTATAGCTCACCTTATACGCCTGGATACGGCCCTTCCCCTCCCATTGGCACTGGACTCAGAGACCTGGACATTGCTCGTCACAAAGAAAGGCAAAACCGCCATCTTATGATCCCCTTCACCATCATATCCTTGCACTGCCGTGCCTTCTCTCAACCAAAGAAAGAACTTCTCGTGCTGGACTCGAAAATCGGCCTTCCTACTCTCTTCCATCCGATATCCTTTCCGCTTGCACCATCTCTACGGGTAAAGTAGATAATGTGAATCCAATAAATAAAGTTAAAATCAACCCGATAAATCATGAAAATGTGAGAAGCAATAATTAAAAAATGGTGCCTACCCTCCAATGCCGATGAAATTGACCACATGCCGTCCTAGTGCCCCGCGCATGTTGTTGAATTCGCAAGTCTGACGACTCGTATAGGGCTAGTTTTCCCTGTGTCTCAAATGAACGGCATCTAACTCCTTCTTGTTGAGCTTGACCTTATTGGGATTGGATTCTTTGGCATTGTTCAGGGAACTCGCCTTCATGGCCTCAAGCTCTCGGTCCCATCTCATACGCTGTTGGTACTTCTCAAAAGATTCTCCCGACCTCTGCATCGATACCGTCGCTGCGGCAGACTGATCCTGATCATGATGTTGCTGCAGTCCTTCACCGCCCTCAGCACTCTCAACATCCTCGACGTCCCCGACATCTTCAAGTCGACTTGGCCTCACCCTTGTACGCTGGTCTAGCCGTGACTTCTTCACTGGTGGTTGGACCCATCCCTGCGCCTTTCTTTTGTGTGTCATAGTATGGGTATGGGTATGAGTTGCCCCTGCGGGTTTATCCTCATCGTTGTCAGAGTCATTCTCATCCGCTCTACTGGCGCTATAATCGCTATCGGTGTCTTGCGGCGTATTATCCATTGGAAACTGTGCGAAGTAATGCTCGTAGAAAAAATGAAGAGGGTAGTTGGCCTCATCAAATGGCTTCGGTCCACCATGATACACCTCCTCTTCCTCGTCGGCCCCCTCTGCTTGAAGTCGTTCCTCTTCTAGAAGTCGCTCTTCCTGCTCCTCCTCCTCCTCCTCCTTCTCCTCCTCGTCGTCGTCGTCCATCACCACTACCACCTTTTCCTTCTCTCCTGAAAGCTGGTCTCGCGTATTTTCAGAGGATGGTTTCCTGATGTATTTGGGATCGTAGCCATAAATAACGCCATCATCGTAGAACATATCGATGCGATCAGGGCCGAGCACAGAATACATGTCCGTTTGACTACTGGTGATTGTATTATTGTTGTCAGGATTGTTGTTGTTGTTGTCGGGGTTGGTGTTATTGGCGGCTTGGCCCATGTCGTTGTCGTTGATATGGCTGTCAAAATCGTTGTCGTGGGTGGCCGCCCCCTCTCCATCCGTTTGGTTGACCGTTGCTTGTTCTCCTAGAATAAAAGAGCAAAAAGTTAATAGGGGTGATATTAATTGGCATTACTTCCAAGAAACGGGTGATATATAACATAGAGTCGTGGATGTATGTATTACCAGCTGTGGCGACTGCCGTAACTTTCTTCACTTTCGTAGATCCTTTAGGTCGCCCTCTCTTCTTAACTCCTGCTGACGCTCCTGTTGACGACTCTCCAGGGCAAGGGGTGGGAACGAACACAGCAGGAAATGGTTGCGTTGCTTGTCCAACCTCCTCAAGCAAGGCAGTGGAAGGAATGGAGGTTGCAGAAGACATGAGGATGAGGACCACGGATGGAAATGAGTGTAAGGCAATGCGGAGTGAGTGAGGAAGATAGGATATGTGGTCGCCATATCACTGAGGGCTATTTTATTTCTTTCCCTATGGAAACACCAAAAAACTATCCGATTAATTCTAAGCCACCAACTGACAATTTTCTATTCAATCGCGAAATATCTTCATTCAGTCGGCATTACATCTAAAATAATGCTGAAAAGCGACTTTTTTTCTTTGTCTACGAGTGGACTAATTCTTGGGCCTTTGACTATCCCGAAAAATGAGGGATACTTGAAGCTGGATTGATAGTTGGGTGGGACTGAGACGTGATCTCTAATACCTCCAAATGCACGGTTTTCTTTGTTGAACGTGTCTCTGGTTCTGCGCACTATGGTTTGGAACGTGCATGACCATTGTTGGAGCGCCTAGGACTGTTCTCAAGATCCTTCACCGTCAACGACGCTAGGTCTACCAGTACTCGCCTCCATCAACGGTCCCCCCAACTCCCGTACCTCGCTACCACCTCGCTCATGTGTTAGATAAGAGACGCTAGACGCCGAAAGCAGGAGTAGGATTGCGAATACAGAAGGCATTGACAGTGGTGACACACAAAATAAAACGTGGGTGAATGCTTGTTTATTTCGAGGGAAGGGGGTCGTAGAATGCACAGACTGCACGTTCTTATTTCTCCTATTTCTCCTTCTCTCCACTCTCTCTCTCGGACCTCACCTAATGCTATTTTTTCTCTGCATGTCCCTGAGTCTGACCTGAAAAAGGCATTTGCACACACCTGCGCATACACACACACAAAGCAGATACACAAGGCAGAAACACAAGGCAGAAACATATGCATACCTGAATACAAACTAATCGGTTTCCTATTTTCCTTCCGTTCACCAAGATGAAATTTCTCCGATATTCCACCTCGAGATGAGGTCTCGCCGTAGGCTCGCCGAGTCCACAAGGAGAAATACCTCTCCCTCTCATTGAACGCGTAGTTGTTGTTGTTTTTCTTTGTAGCATTGTTGTATGTGTGTCCTGGGGTGTCTCCCCTGTGTCTGTTTACGTGGTTTTGCATGGTTGCTATACTCACAACGCGTTATTTCATTTGGCAAGAGGAAAGACCTTGTACGTGGAAAGAAATGGCCTATGCCTTCTCTTGATCCCTTTGGAATATTGTATGATGTGTGTCGTAACTCCTGAAAAGAACTGAGCAAACACTGTTTGAACGTACACCCTCGTGGTAACACATCTTTTTTATTGCAAGGGAGTGGCAGTCGAACACATACGAGCCAAACATCAATTGAATGCGTACCTTCTAAAGACGGTCTTGTACTCTGTCTCCTAGTGCCTGCGAGACTGGGATGGCAGTCGGTCTTATCCTATGCATCTTGCTTGCCCAGAGTCATAGAGCTGATAAGAGATGTACCAAGAGGAGATGAGAAAATAGAGAAAAAAGTCAGCTTTGCCTCAGTTGTTGAAAATATCTTCTGGCGTCCTTGGCTGCCGGGTGGAGTTTGATCGAAAAGTGCAGCATGATCACATTGGGATGAATTCACGGATAGTGCAGGACGACGTTGTTGTTGTTCATGATGCTGACCTCGGGTGCTTTTTTCGTAGACTGCGCTTAGTGTCGGCATGGTCGTTCGTCCCTGTAAGTTTGTGAATAAGTTTAGCGTTGGCGTCGAAACGAGATGCTGATTCGAACGTACTTTTCTTTTGCCACCAAATTGCATCGTTGACTCTACATCGTCGCATTGGAGCGATTGGGAATAGACAAGAGATGATAAATAGGTCCGTAGGTCCATTCTTACTTTCTTGTTGCCGTTTTCTTTCTTCATTTTTTCTTAAAACCAATTGTCTTTTCTCTTCTCCATTCTTCATTCATGCACGCAATTGGTATTTTTATTGTCTCTCTCTCACTCGACTTGCACCGCACTACCTTCTGCCTTTTGAAGAAACAAAGAAAGGATTTCCCTCTCCCCAACCTCCTGCGCCTGAGGCTGAAGAGTAACAGAACCTCCAACTTTTTTTTTCTCGTATTTGTAGGCTCATCATTGAGGACGTAGCGTAGGAGGTAAATCGAAGGTAAGTTTTCATTCATGGTGCCAAAACTGGATGACAAGGAGAGGAAAGGGTGAAAAAAATGGATAGAGAGAAAGGGAGACTCATGTCTTCCCTGTTAGTAGAATCGAGAAAGGCGCTACCTTGATCTGACAATCCACCAGCACGAGCATAAAGCCCGCCCCGTGGAGCAGCTTACAGCTCGACTGTATCCGGCTCCAGGAACTTCGCCTCTCTCCTACCGCCAACGTCGCGTGTATCGGGCGGCTGATCGAGGCGAACCCGGGTCTGAAGGTGGTGCATTGGAAGCGGTGAGGTCATCTTCGCCAAAGCCCAGAAGATTACATGGCCCTCTTCCCTTTGCGTCACCTGCATACGCTTGGCTTGGTGGGTTGGATTTTGAACTCTGTTTATCTTCACCATATCCTGAATAATAATGCCGACAGCTTTGAGGAAGTTCTGTTGGGGAGGTGGATTGTTAATACGGGTTTCCTTGAGGCGGCGCCTATGAACCTGAAGTGGAACGGACTTATGGACTTGGAGGGCCAGCCAGCTTCTCAGGAGGCGGAGGTTCAGTCTGCTACTCGGACAATGGAGGATGAGCTTGCTATTCAAACAGCGGATGATCAAGTTACCCCTCAGAAAGCGGACGATGAACTTGCACCCCCACAGACGGGGGAGGAAGAGCCTGCTTCTCCTCCGGAGGAGGAACAGTCTTTACCTTGGGTCGTGTTGGACCAATACATTCCACATATGACGGAAGAACAGAAAGCCAAGGCCGCTGAATTGATTTAAGGACGATATCTACACTGCCTACACTGCCCCAATGTCAAGACCCTTGAACTTCAAGTCGATTGGCAACGGACAAACTTGCTACTCATACCCTTCTTTGCGCATTCCCAGCCCAGGAACTACTCATTCGTGGATGTATCGATGATCAGGTTGGCTCGCTTCTGGCTCGGATCCTGGAAGAGTGCTGTCCTAACGTCCGGTCTCTCAGGATAATGCATCTAGAGTTTGGGGCCCCACGATCCTTGAGTAACTCGAAGGGATGGCGCATACTATTAGCGTCTATGAGCCTGGGAACTTGGTCCACGTCGAGTTAGCGCGGTGGGAGTTTGATGATACTTTTAGCAATGCGTTGATGGCGCACTGGGATTGGTTGGAGGTCTGGAAGTTGACGCTCTTTATTGGCGAGAAGCCTGGTGAGTTAAAGAATACCCAGACGGCTACTTAGAGGGATGCAAGCGAGTTAAGAAATTCTCGATGCGCAACTGCCGCAGGTCGTACAAGGTCAGGGATGCGTCAATTCTCCTTGACGGGTTGAAGAACTGCTGTTAACTCGAGAGTTTGTTATTGGTCGGGGTTCCCGTTCATCGACACGAGCCTGAGAAATATGAGGAGAATTGAGTAGTACAAAAAAAATATTAAGGGGAGGAAATAATTGTTTCTATGGTGGATTTGCCGACGGAATGGAGGTACGTGGACAAGAGTATTGTTGGAGCGAACGAGTCGTAGTCGACTGGAGTTCAGGAGGTTGGGATTCAAGGGTGTTGCTGGGTTGCCGCATGTCAAGACCCTAATTCTAAACAGCGACTGGTTTGTGAGGGATCTAAACAACGCACTGTCTTCAATTGTCTCAATAAAATAGCGAGGTGGAAATTGAATCCGTTGCCTTTTCGTCGCGTCTGCTTGTAACTTTGTGTTCCAAATTATTCCGCTGTGAAATGACCAGCTTGACATAATTAAGAGTCTTATGGAATATACATGAGTATGTGTGTGCTGAGTCTACTCAGAGGTTCAGAGTCCAGACTAAGGTGCATCACTTATACAGAATAAGCTGCGATCGGGGGCCGTAAACGATCATGTCGACACGATCTTGCACATACCCTCACTTCATTAAAAATAACAAATAATGCCTTTATTTAATCATTCTAACCCAGTTAATCTACTCTACCTTACATACATCCTTTTTAGATACTTGTCTTCATACTGGCTCGGCTCTCGATCACACGTAGCCCATCGAGAAGTGTTTGGTGTAGGCGTGGTGTATATAGATGAATGGAAACAAAAAACAAGAAAAAAAACCTGGTTAGCTGTGCACTGGCTAGCAAGCATCTGTACAGGTGCCGGCTCCGACCGGACGTCCAAGAGCCATGAACAATGAGACTCAGGTAAACAGTGGCCACGGAACTCTTGCAGCGGCTTGACTAGTTGGCTTTTCATCTGGCTGGGGATACCCCGGGACAAAAACTCAACAGGAACCCCCATCCAGAACCAGATGAGAAGCCTACCAGCCAAGCCGCTGAAAAGAGTCCCGCAACCGCTGCTGTCGCATCGTCTCAGAGTCCATGCCTCTCCCCAGAGGTAGCCGGCCGACACTCCTTTCCAGATACTTGCCTTCGTACTCATAGAGAACGTGTGGTTCCTCATGAAGAGCGCAGTTCACAACAATGATATCCGCCCCAGAACTGTCAAGGACATGCCGATCGCCCTCAATGAGGAATGGCAAGCAATATCCAAGGACTACCTCAAAAAAATCATTGATAGCATGCCTAAGAGAATCAAGGCTGTTATTGCGAATAAAGGCGGCTCTACACAGTGGTGATACCCATTTTCTTTTGAAAAAGTGCTCAGTAATTTTCCGGCATTTCTTTTTGGGAGGGCGCTGTACAGTAAGGTAAAGTGGGTTATTGTCAATGTTACTCAGGGGAGAGGGTCGACGGCCAGAGTTGTAGGATCGCTGTTAAGTCCTCAATTGGTACGGGGGGGGGGGGGGGGGGGGGGGAGGGAAAAGGGGGGTTGTAGGTTCGAGAGGGGGAAAGTGATAATAACGTCCTAAAAGATTCACACAAAACGATACACTGCAGCGCGCCAGCGAAACTCTTGTCAATACTGCTCTCGTCCAAGAAGTGATGTGTAAAAGGACATTGTATTAATATTATCAAAGAGGGGGTTGTTACCTGCAGCGCGCCAGCGAAACTCTTGTCAATACTGCTCTCGTCCAAGAAGTAATGTGTAAAAGGACAAAGAGCGGACAAGAGGGCTTGGCGCACTACTAATACTATCTACTAAAGAATATGACTGATACTATCTACTAAAGAATATGACTGCTAACCTAAGGCATTGCCGCCACTGCCTAGCCACCACATCTTTTTGTAACATCAACAAAGGGAGCTCGACTGGGAGGACAGATCAATCACGTGACAAGCAATCACTTTATATTATTCGTCGACTATGGTTCATTTTTGAACCTTGACTGAGACCTGGCCTTCTTTCTTGTAGTCGACCAAGGGTGGACTACAACTCACCAAACAGAACTTCCAGCGAGAGGAAGCACAAGCTCATATGGCAACTCGGCCCATTGAGAAGTGCCTCCTGTCAGCCTGGACTGTCTGTCCAGTCTGGCGAGGAGTCCACCCAAAGTCGACCGCAAGAAGAGAAGACCAGTTCTCTCCTTGGGCGACGATGGGAGAAGGCTAAGAGAAGGAATGCATGAATGAAGATGAATGGGTTGGTTAGAAAAGGAAGAAGTGAAAAGGACCCTTAACAAACAAGCTCGAAAAGTAGTAGAGAGGTACCTTAGGCCTTGAGCGCGTCGCGCGTCACCGAACTAGAACCCCCGTGGCAGACCCCGAACTAGAACCCCCGTGGCAGACCCCGACCTAGAACCCCGTGGCAGACCCCGACCTCGACTGAGACCTGGCCTTCTTTCTTGTAGTCGACCAAGGGTGGACTACAACTCACCAAACAGAACTTCCAGCGAGAGGAAGCACAAGCTCATATGGCAACTCGGCCCATTGAGAAGTGCCTCCTGTCAGCCTGGACTGTCTGTCCAGTCTGGCGAGGAGTCCACCCAAAGTCGACCGCAAGAAGAGAAGACCAGTTCTCTCCTTGGGCGACGATGGGAGAAGGCTAAGAGAAGGAATGCATGAATGAAGATGAATGGGTTGGTTAGAAAAGGAAGAAGTGAAAAGGACCCTTAACAAACAAGCTCGAAAAGTAGTAGAGAGGTACCTTAGGCCTTGAGCGCGTCGCGCGTCACCGAACTAGAACCCCCGTGGCAGACCCCGAACTAGAACCCCCGTGGCAGACCCCGACCTAGAACCCCGTGGCAGACCCCGACCTCGACTGAGACCTGGCCTTCTTTCTTGTAGTCGACCAAGGGTGGACTACAACTCACCAAACAGAACTTCCAGCGAGAGGAAGCACAAGCTCATATGGCAACTCGGCCCATTGAGAAGTGCCTCCTGTCAGCCTGGACTGTCTGTCCAGTCTGGCGAGGAGTCCACCCAAAGTCGACCGCAAGAAGAGAAGACCAGTTCTCTCCTTGGGCGACGATGGGAGAAGGCTAAGAGAAGGAATGCATGAATGAAGATGAATGGGTTGGTTAGAAAAGGAAGAAGTGAAAAGGACCCTTAACAAACAAGCTCGAAAAGTAGTAGAGAGGTACCTTAGGCCTTGAGCGCGTCGCGCGTCACCGAACTAGAACCCCCGTGGCAGACCCCGAACTAGAACCCCCGTGGCAGACCCCGACCTAGAACCCCGTGGCAGACCCCGACCTCGACTGAGACCTGGCCTTCTTTCTTGTAGTCGACCAAGGGTGGACTACAACTCACCAAACAGAACTTCCAGCGAGAGGAAGCACAAGCTCATATGGCAACTCGGCCCATTGAGAAGTGCCTCCTGTCAGCCTGGACTGTCTGTCCAGTCTGGCGAGGAGTCCACCCAAAGTCGACCGCAAGAAGAGAAGACCAGTTCTCTCCTTGGGCGACGATGGGAGAAGGCTAAGAGAAGGAATGCATGAATGAAGATGAATGGGTTGGTTAGAAAAGGAAGAAGTGAAAAGGACCCTTAACAAACAAGCTCGAAAAGTAGTAGAGAGGTACCTTAGGCCTTGAGCGCGTCGCGCGTCACCGAACTAGAACCCCCGTGGCAGACCCCGAACTAGAACCCCCGTGGCAGACCCCGACCTAGAACCCCGTGGCAGACCCCGACCTCGACTGAGACCTGGCCTTCTTTCTTGTAGTCGACCAAGGGTGGACTACAACTCACCAAACAGAACTTCCAGCGAGAGGAAGCACAAGCTCATATGGCAACTCGGCCCATTGAGAAGTGCCTCCTGTCAGCCTGGACTGTCTGTCCAGTCTG